AGATTAGCAAACACTGATCTACAGCATGAATTATTGAGACGGAAATATTTTAAAAATATAATAGGTACCCTCTACATGCGCACAAATATTTTGAATATGGTGTGTGAACTAGATGTAGTTGCAAATTCCTCAATTTGGTGTCACTTATCAACACTATTCTGAGCTAGTCTGTTATGTATCATTATCCTAAATTGACTAATTGATTTTCTGCTAATTTTTATTTTTGCTGGTGTTTGCAAGTATGTGTGGCAACTTTTTGCAATAGCTGATAAAAAAAGAACAACAGTGTGTGTGCATAAAGTTTGCTTTTTTTTAGGGCAAGCCACAGCTGAAACTTGTAATGTATCGAGAAGCTTTTAAGGAAGAATAGTTAAGTAAAACACAAAAGTCTTAGTGTTGTTTATGTTTAAAATGTGAGGCAATGTCACTTGAAGACCAATCATAATCTGGCTGACCGTTACCAAGCCAAAATGCTGAAAATCTTGAATATGGAATTTTTTAATCTTTATTTTAGAATGACAGTAAAAGTATTGTGCATATGGTAGATAATTGAGTTGATTGTTAAAGAATGGTGAATTTCTCTGCAGTGAAACAGGTAAATATTCTCAGCGAATGAGGTAAGGCTATAAATAATATTGCAGTTGTAAATAAAAGGAGATGAAGATAGACCATAAAATTACTGGCAAACATTTTATTAGCTTTTTAAGCCTTGAAAAGACTGAACAATTTTTTTCATGAGAAAAAAACTGTTCTGTTTTTGAAGTTTTTAGAATTTCCAATAATATATTATGCATGTATAGCCTGTCAGAAAAATTTTTATGATTTATATCTAGTGACAGGAAAATACAGGGAAAATAGTTTCATGCCTTTCCTAATGGTGTTAGGGTTAAGTGAACATAGTTTCAAATAAATTGATTTTTTATGGCTTATTAAACTTTTACAATCTAAATATATTTTCTGATTTTAAATAGCCAGAAAATATATTTACATTGTGAGAATTTTTTGGAGATAATAATGATTTTTACTCATGCATCTCCTACTAATTAATCCGTAGCTGGGGGATGGGAGATGGATTCATACTTTTCCAAATGAATATAACCCAACTGGAATTGGAACTCAGCTCTTTGATTTCCAACTCTGAGCCATTATCCATTACCCTACCCTAACTTCCAAGCTTACAGCACCTGACATTTCCAAGTGGTCATCCATCTAGGTACTGACCAGGCTTGTTGTTGCTTAACTTTGGTGATTGTATGAGAACCAGTGTTTCAACATGATATGGCCGTAAGGTATTTCAAATAGAATTAAAACTGGTATATCATTTCTGTTTTTGTATGCTAACTATTGTCACCTTCCAATATTTCATATAAATTTTAGTAAATAAAAAGCCTATGAGGACATTAGTCTAAATGTTAATGAGGCAAAACCAACCTATGTATAATTTTGATATTTTTCATTGATTTCAAAGAACAATAAAAACTGATAAACCAGCTACTAATGTGTACACAAAAGGACATCTGCTGTTTAGCAAGTTAATCATTCAGATTATTCACTTATGATGTGAATTCAGTCCTAATTATAATATATATATATATATATATATATATTATAAATTAATTGATTTAAAATATGGTTATTTTCGCTACACAGTTCCAACCATGTTTCAAAAATAGAAGCTAAAAACCCCTAATTTTATTTTTGCAAATAAATTAAAAGCATTAGTTCCATTTCATCTTCAAGCGAATTTTGGAGTAACTTTTAAAATTTACCGGGTTTTAAATACACAGCTAAAATCACGTTTCCATGGTTACAGAATATTCTACTCAAATTTAAAAAGTTACTCCAAAATTCGCTTGAAGATGAAATGGAACTAATGCTTTTAATTTATTTGCAAAAATAAAATTAGGGGTTTTTAGCTTCTATTTTTGAAACATGGTTGGAACTGTGTAGCGAAAATAACCATATTTTAAATCAATTAATTTATAATATTAATGCTCTGTAAATTTACATTGAGCACTATTTTGTAAAAATAAAATATCTATAAGAACACGGATTTTATATCTTACTGTTCTTTCTTTTTTATTTATATACATATATATATATATATATATATATAAAAGAAATATAGTCTTAAGATGTGCTATATTTATAGGATAAAGTGCTCAATATCAAAGATAGAGCGTGTGTAAATATAAAAGTGAACATAAAGTCAACACTTAGGCGACAGTCTGTTTTCATGCTAGTGGCCTGACGATTGCATCTAGCATGAAACAGACTGTCGCCTCTAAGTGTTGATTTCTATGTTAAATTTATATATATATATATATATATATATATATATGTGTGTATGTTGTCATATTTATTTTCCACAAAATTGTTCTTTATATATATATATATATATATATATATATATATATATATAAGAAAAATTTTGTGGGAAAGATGTATGACAAACTTAAAGTTCTCATGTGACTCATTTCATCGTTTGGGACTTCATCAGACTAAGTTTGTTTGTGTTGGTGTGATTACACATGCACACAAATGAGAGATGCTGGGAATTTTAAATTTAACTTTGGAGTATATAATTTAGTTGATTTCAACAAGACTGACCACAATTTTGATATAAGATTTGCTACTCTTATTAAAAGAGAAAACAATTCACTAAGGACAAAATGTTTAGAAAGTGCTTTAATCGCTAGTTCATCCACAGTAAATTTGCATCCCGGTTCTTGTCAGATCTTCACTTCATATCTATATGGATGTGTGTGTGTCTGTGTGTATATATATATATATATATATATATATATATATATATATATAGTGGACGCTCTCATCACAGACAACAAGTATGGGTTCATTAAAATAAAGAGGTGCTCAACTTTTATGTACATGCATGTGTCTCGAGCACAAAACACGATGGTGGTGTTTACTGAATAACCTGTTTATAGTGGCCATTGCTTATGCAGTACACTGTCTCCATCAGAACAGCATAGCTTGTAATGGTGCACAGTTTGCCACATCTCGTGCTAAAGTGATCGTAGGTTTAAAACAGAATTTTCCTTTTCCTAATAAGGAGTAAGAAGTGTCTCTCTCTCTCCCAGAGTTTTAACCGCACACCCAGACACCAGTTCAGGTATTTCTATGTCCCTGCAGCACAAATATTTTACTCTTGATGTTGGATTAAAAAGTTTGTTGTCAAATGAAGCATTTAATGTTATTAAATTACTATTATCGTAATTTATGTTTAAATGATAATTAACAATATTCAATCAATAGATAAAAGGACAAAAGAAAAACTTTTGGCAAATGTTGTTATAAACAGTTTGAATGATATATGATAGAGAAAGTAATTGACTATATATATAATATATATATATATATATATATATATATATATATATATATATATATATATAGGCACATGACTAATTGATTAGAATGTTAGTGTTTCAACCTTGAGATCCAGAATTGAATCCTACCAAGGAGGTGACTTCTTGATAATATTAGCCTAGGGAGACAATCCCAGTGTGTGGCAAGTACCTGCAAACTATACCACGAATTGATCCAAACATTTTAAGTGCAATTGGGAAGATGAAACTGTTTGGAATCCATCAATGGATATGCTAGCCCCAAATCATAAGTCATTGTGATTGAGGGTTCCATTGTACTAGTCTTTTTAACTACTAATCACACACATGCTTTCTCCTATAAACTGTAAGTAAGGTCTGCTCAGAATGGTTATAGTAAAAACTAGAGTTAATATATGTGGGTGTTGAACATAACACAAATATGCCTTAACAGGAATCTGAAACATGAAGTAGTTAGTCACCCAAGTAGACTCCATAGTCTCCAGAGACAGGCAAACATGCTTTTATTTGTGTGTTTTTATATATATATATATATATATATATATATATATATATATAATGTGTGTGTGTTGTTAAATATAACAGACAATGAATATCTATTATGGTAGCTTTAATTTGGGGTGAAAATAGACAGAAATTGTCCAACTAATATTTTTTATTAAGCTGTTCCTTGATCTAAGCTTTTGGCTCACATGAGCAAACTTCAGAGTGGTTATATGGACATTTAAGCAAAGATATTCACCAACAAAGATGACATTCTGTTATGCTGACATAGAAGATTGCTATGTGACAATAACGGTCATGGAATAGCAGACACAGTTCGTAAATTGATGATGTGGTTCTATGAATATTAACAACAGAACAATATGTCTAGATGCAATGTAATGTCTTGTGACTAGTTTGAAATGTAATTTTGTTGAGTGTGGGTTGCTTTTATATTCATATATATATATATATATATATATATATATATATATATATCAGTTTGTACCCGATTTTCATTGTTAATATAAAATGACTGCAACTTGACACTCATATTTGTTTTGGTGCCAATTTCTATGTTCTAGATTGAAACTTTGCATCATTTAGTTGTGCATCAGACTTTATTGAATGTTGACGTTTTGTTCACAAATGAATGCCTTAAAGTTGGAGGATGAAAAGTTATACTTTCGCCATATTATGCACTATGAATTTCAGAAAGGAATAAGAGTCGGAACTGCAGCAAAATACATTCAGAAGTATTATTTGGATTGTGCTCCAACTCTTCACACAGTCAAAAATATGGTTTGACAGATTTTGTTAGTGATTTCTTTTTTTCAGGAAACATGAAAAAAGAATATAAAAATAACTTTTATAAAGCATCAGGATAATTTGCAGTAAGACAAGGGGTGTAAGGACAATTTCCACATATATTTTGGTACACTCAGAAATCTATTAACTCAAGATGATGTGAATTTCCATCATTGTAATTCTATGGTTTAGCAGTGAATGATATAAATTTCTACTCCAGTTAATGGATTAATGATGTCTATTCAAAAATGAAGTCTGTTTATTCATCAGAGATAGAAAAAAAATTCTTTTCTATTTGAATCTGCTGGTTAAAATAAAAAACGTAACAAAGAAAGTTGTACTTATGGCCACATCATGCTGAAACACCAGTTCTCGTACGATCATCCAAGTTAAGCAATGTCGAGCCTGGTCAGTACCTAGATGGGTGATTGTTTGGAAATACTAGGTGATGTAAGCTTGGATGCGTGTGTGTTGGAGTAGATAATGGCTAGGAATTGTTAATTGCAGAAATGAGTTCCAATTCTCTTTGGGTTTGTTATATTTACTTATGTGCAAATATCCTTGAGGAAGATATGAATCCACGTCTTCTCCTTTTAGCTATGGGTTAATTAGTAAGACTTGTATCACTAAGTCATTATTATCTAAGAAAAAAAAAAACTCTTACAATCCAAAAATATTTTCTGGCCTTAAATAACCAACAAAGGGTTGATAAGCTATAGAAAATCAATCAATTAATCTGAAACCCTTGATGACTAACACAAATTATGGAAATAATTTTTCATAATAAAGCAACATTCTCAAAAGGTCTAGTGAGGAATGTAGTAATTACATCACTTGCCTCTATGATATTTATTATAGTCTGACACAAAGTCAAATAGTATTAAAAAATTGTGTTGTGCTAAGCTTTCAAATGGAGAGTGCCTACCTTGATAATTCAATGTTCAAAATTTATGCATTTATTTGAGATTGAACACTGATGTCTTTGAAATATGTAACTCTTTACCTTGTTGGTGGGACTTTGATCATGCTGGCTGCATCCTCTGCAGAGGGAAGGGCCCTCTTCTCCCCTAAAAAGGAGACCACCTTCCTGGTAGGTACTTGCAGGCTTGGGTAGAAACCTAACTGATGTCTACCTTTTAAGTCTTGAGTGTAAGCTAGACATATGTCTACTTTTTTGGACTTTTTCATGTAAACTGGACCTTTTTAACTTAAACTAAACATATGTCTACCTGTCTATTAATTCATTGTGATTTTTGTCCCATAAGACTTACCAACATTTAAACAACCCAAGAAGAGTTCATATGTCATTAAATTAACCAACCTAATCAACCACAAAGCAGACCTCTGCTTTTTTCTTCTGTTTCAACTAATTTTTGGAACAAACTGAAAGTAAGTAATGTCACAAAAAATTCTAAGGGGTTTAAAGATGATAAAATTTGTTTTAATTCATGGCTGGTACATATATAAGTGTATTTAAAAAAAATGATTTAAAATTTGTAATATTATTTTAGTAATATCTCATAAGAATCTGAGACAAAATCATTTAGATGTAAAATAATTGTTTATTCACTTCTATTCTCAAATTAGTATCAACTCTGAGATCATTTCTCTTTGGGGACTTCTTTTAAATAATGGTCTTCTCACAAGAATGTGAGGAACACTGACATTTTTTTTCTGGGTGGGGCACTTATATAACTCACTGTCATCTGTTTTTGCATGAGTGTGTGTTATATCCTTAGTTCAGCTAGCTTGATTTCCTCTATATATGGGTGCAGCCATTGATATAATGAGGCCTGGTTTTGCATGTGATGGCTATGAAGACACCTAGGTCAACCCTCTGATGCACCTGACTCTTTTGATGTTCTACTGTGACACCATGTACAAAGATTACTTTGGTATTTCTTAGAATGAGCCTAATACATATTGGGGTCACCACAAATCAACTCCTTTTAGAACAAAGGTTCCTGATTGATATTAAATTCAATTCAAACTTCTGGTATTTCTAGACATAAATCATATACTAGAATTTGACATGATAAAAATGTCCACCAAAAATTTTCAAATACATTTCTGTATACTTGATAAAACCTGTTAGTTTTGTAAATTTTTATCAAACTGGCAGTAAAGATGATTAACTTTTTTTGTAATGCCTGTTTGTAGGAGAGACTTTGTAAATCACAGATACAATAATAGTAACGTCTTCAAACAATACTCAGTCTTTCCTTTACCATCACGTGATCTAATTATTTCAAGATGAGGTCGACTGTGCTTGCTCTCTGGCAATCTGTGTTCAAACCCAAGTGTTAGCAGCGACACTTTATTCCTATATAACACCTTTTAAAAAAATTTTAAAGTTTTGTAGTCATTACTGTCCTCCCCTATTTTTTGGTTTTTTGACAAGCCCAAATTTGCTTAATATCACAACTTTCAAAAATAAGATTCATCTATGACAAAATGTAGAACTGTTTTGTTGAATTTCCCATTCATCTTTTTAGTCAAGTTTGATCTTCAAAAATTTAAATGCAATGTCAATCGTTATCTTCTGTCTTCATAATTTCTGTTCTTTTATTGTTCTTGCTCCTCAATAAGGTTTTATATTCTTTCACCCTCTGGAACCCCCTGTGTGTTAGTGGCTTTGTTGCCTTGCTTGGGGTGAAAATATCCCCTCCCCACCAAAAAAAAATAAACATTAGTAAAGTTTCATGTATGTACCTCCATTTTTACAGCAAGTTCTGGATGCTTTCTTTTTTTTTACTTTTTTCAAATTGTTCTAGCTGTTTTTACATGCTATAAATGCAAATTGTTTTTTTATTGTTGTACTACTGAAAAAGAACTTTAGCTTCATCTCTGTTGTTCTATGAATTATGTTAAGAAGTTGTAAAGCATTAACTGAAGAAATTAAATTTATATGAATAAAGTTACTCTTTTTTTTTTTTTTAACTTCAAGACAAGCTATATTTTTACTTGTTTGAAGCCTGCATCTTAAGTTATACACTATTAAAATTGGCTTCTGGCCCAATAGCACATGATATGGAAAAGTTCTGATGAACTTTAAATGATCATAACTCAGTTGCTAATAGACTTACAAAGATAAATTTGGTACCATTTTTTTTTTCTTGTTTTGCTAAGCTGTATATATCTGAAAATTTAGATATGTTTCAACAAACGTTTGGTTGAGATATCTAATAAAAATTTTATAAAATCTTATTTTTATTTTTTTCATTATTAAACTAACAGATGTTTTCTTCTGATAATTTATTTTTCTTTCTTCTTGTTTTCTTTTAATAGGTATAATCAGTATAGAAATTGGTAATGGTGAAATGGCACCATGCAAAAAATTGAAGCTGAATGGTAGAGCCTCTTCAAGTGCATCTGATGCCATTAGCCAAGATGGGGAGCAGTTGGCTCCAGAAAACCCAAATCTCCAGCGGCGAAGGAGTGCACGGCTACGTCTCTTGGCCAAATCACGCAGTAACTTAGAGCTGAGGTTGTCGCAGCCTGATGATTTTCTTGGCGAATTATCGTTGGAAATCATCTGCCGGGTCCTCGATTATTTGCCACTCCGGGATGTCCTCAAGATGGAGAGCTTGAGTAAGAAAATCAAGCAAGTAAGTATGGATTTGTCTATTCTAGTTTTTGCTTCTCTCATGATGGTTTCATTTATAAGAAAATGCTATTTTGAATTATGTATCTTCAGTGCATAATTACAGGATTTATTAAGAATTTAATTACTTTTAAATTAGAATGTAGTACTTTGGAATTTATAGAATTCTAGAATTGAATTTAAAGATCAGTGTTATCCAAACTGTCTTTAATGGGCACATGGCTGAGTGGTTAGAATGGTTGCTTGATGACCATGAGACCCGGGTTTGAATTTCACCATGGTCAATTTGTCAGGAAGGAGAAAGTGCCTGAAATTTCACAGGTTGACCCAAGCCTTGTGAATGAAATTGGCTAGCATGAAAGTCACAAGTCATTGTGACCAAGGGTTTGGGTGTGCTGGCCTTGTTCAGATTGTTGATCATGTTAGGTAACATGCTCTCTCTCCCAGAAACTGTAACTAAGATCTACTCAGCATAGTTGCAGTATAAACCGCAAGGAGGCTCTTTGAGTATTGAACAAACACAAATGCGTCTGTGTAGGCATCTGTAATAGGGATTGGCTAGCTGCCCTAGTAGACAGGTATCTTCAAATACCAGTGGCCAGCTATTATTATTATTATTGTGTGTGTGTGTGTGTGTGTGTGTGTATATATATATATATATATATATATATATATATAATAATTTTGTCATCGCTTGTGGAATGAGTGGAGTATTCGACTGGATACGAAAATTCGGGTTTACAGAGCTGTTGTACTTGCCATCCTTTTGTATGGCTCAGGGTCATAGACTCCATACAAGTACCATATACACCAGCTAGATGTTTTCCATAAAAGCTGTCTGCATGCAATCTGTGGAGTTAAGCTTCAAGATAGGACATCTAACGTAGACCAGTTTAACAGGTGTAATATTGGAGGAATCAAGACTTTTATCATACAGTCTCAGTTATGGTGGACTGGTCATGTCTTGAGAATGTCTGATGACAGAATACACAAGATCCTAATGTTCAGCCAGTTAGATCAGGGCTACAGGAATGTAGGACGCCCATGGCTAAGATACAAAGACAAGCTGAAAAGCAACTTGTCAGCAGTCAATATACCACATAACACCCTTGAGCACTTAGCCTTGGAGCAGGTAGAATGGAGATCAACGTGTTTTAATGGACTCAGTAATTTTCAATCTGCTTGTCTGAATCATTTTCAAGAAGCAAGAGCAAGATCTAAAAGGTCAGCCAATCTAACAGTGATCTCATCTCACAATCCTCACACTTGCTCCATATGTGGCCTCCTTTGTAAATCACTAGCGGGTCTTAAATGCCACTTAAGATTATCGCACAAACTTTCATAACTGAATTAATAAGCAGTCAGATCCTCATACGTCAAAACCAACGGGAGAGTCCATTATTATTAATATTTTATATATATATATATATATATATATATATATATATATATATATATATATATATAATATAAAAAGTGGACATTGAAGTCAACACCTAGTGGTGACAGTCTGTTTCATGCTTAAAGGCAATCATTAGGTACTGACAATTGTGTTTAAGCATGAAAGAGACTGTTGCTGCTGGGTGTTGACCACAATGTCCATTTGCATATATACAAATACTCTATCCATGATATCAAACACATTAACTCATAAATATAGCATCTCTGAAAACTATATTTTTATCACACACACACACACACACACACACACATATATATATATATATGCACTAGAATGCAAAATTTTGGGCCACCTTGGTAAATTAATTACTGTTGTTAATTTTACCTCAAAATTGAAAATGATTAGCAGTATGCTTTCCTCAGTACATTTTATGATGTTTGAGGTGCCAGAAGGCAAGTTACAGCATTTTTGATAATGTATGGTGGTGGATAGAGTATCTTTATCATAATGATGTTGAAAAAAAGCCATGCAAAAATATTTCCTAAGCTAAAAAGGATTTTTTTTCTATTTTTAACAAAAAGTGGTCTTTATTATTGCAGAAAATACAAAAAATCAAAATTTGTAATTAGTGTTGTTGACTTTGGTTCGAATAATTGCCTCAGTGATATTGAATGGAATATGGTTCAGATTTTCTCATTGGGAAGTTTTTCCCATTCTTGACAATAATCTTAAAGCTCTTGATTGTGTAGTTTTTGTTGGAGCATTTCTTTCTTCAGTTTCCACCACAATGGTTCAATTATATTGAGATCTAGACTTAGTGTTGGCCAGTCTTCCAAAAATTGTACATCTTCATTTGCAAGAAATCTTTTTATTGCATGTGATGCATGGCAAGGAGCACTGTCATTCTCAAAAATTTCTCCATCTTTGTAGTCTGGCAGAAGATTAGACCATAATAAATTAATATAGTTTCCACTGTTTAGATTCTCATCAACTTTTACCAATTTTCTTCTACAATCACTTTTGATGCAACCTCACAGTCCACCATCAATTTTTATTCTCCTTGTTGTGTAATTTTATTGTTTCTTTCATTGGTCTTCTTAAATATTCGCTTGCATTATAATGTAACTCCATTTTGCATTCTTCACTAAAAATTACTTTTTGTTACTTTCCAGCATTCTGTGTTCTTTTCACCACTTCAGTCTTTGTTCTGTATTTTTGGTCAATAATGTTTTTGGCGTGTCCTTTTTTTTTTTTTTTTTGCTATATGTCCTTTCAAGTTGTTTTGTTACAATACTATGCATGCAATATCAACCAACCAAAACCTCACTGTTAAGCATGCATTAACTTCTCCCTTGTATGGCTGTTAATTTTAGATTGCCTACCAAGACTTTTAAAATCTTTCTTTCATCTGTCTTGTCTCATTTTTGTAGACTTCTGGTTTTCTTTGCACTTAATACACTTCCAGTAGCAACAAGTGTCTTTATGATGGTTTAAACAGTGTTTCTTGAAATTCCCAGCCACCTAGCTGTCTTTCGTTGACTCATCTTCCCCTTCAAAGTCACAACCTTCATCTTTGTTTCAGTAGAAATTTTAACCATGATCTTAGTGTAAAAAAGTAAGCTATTGTTCAACTTCAATGATTAGCCAAGACACCTTACACTCATATTAATCAGATGGAATAATTCCTACTTAGGAATTTGCCTATTATCATGACTTTATCATCTCAGATCTTTCATTGACCAAATAGTTTTGCATGGCTTTTTCTCAGCTTCAAGCTGCTTAAAGCAGTGTATCTTTTGTTACATGGCACCTACAAAAATGTAACAACTTATTTTCCAATCAAGGTCCACAGACACTACTGATAAAAGCATACTGCTAAACAATCTTAATTACTTAATGAAATAAATGTGTAAAATTATTTTATGTAGTTGGCTTTTGCCTGCCAGTGTATAACCTAAAAGCATGCAGATTTAATCATACCAAATATCCTCTTTTTATAATCCCTGTTAATATAAGTAAAAATTGATTTATAGATATTGGTTAAATGTTTTGCTTTTCATTCTCAACATAATTTATGTTAATATAGGTACAAAACTTTTGCTTACTCATGGCAGTATAATACAATTCGGTTATTGAGAGACAAAATGAAAACAAAAATCCTATATTATGTTTCTTCCTTCAAAAGGACTTCTTCAGATTAAATGATGTTTTTATTGACAGAATCATATATATGTGGTGGCAGGGAATGAAATACAACAAATATCAATTATAATTATACATCAAGAGAAACACCGAAGATGTAGGGATGCTTAACTTTTAATTTGTTAAACTTAACTAAGTTTCTCATAGAAAAACTTCAAATGATCAACTTAGAATGTTTGGCATTTGCTTTACTTTGTATTAAAATTTAGAATTTGCTGTGACATTAGATGTAAAAAAAAAAAAAAAAAAAAAACTTACCTGTGATATCACATCACATTCAAAAAAATAATCTTCTTTTAGTACTTTATTACTACTTTTTTCCTCTTACCTTTTAGGCTGTTGATCTTCATCTCCGCCTCCGACGAGTAATTGATTTCACCGAGGGCAAAATCTATGGTTGGATGCCCGACAAGATCCATGACTCGACTTTGGCTCATTTGATGAGTCGCTGCTCCGAACTGGAATACATCTATGGTTTCCACCCCCATTACATTGGCCAACGCCGACAGAGAGGGGTCAATATTCTCAGCATTCCGGGGGTTATCCATGCCCTCACTTCTGCCCCCAAACTGAAAGGCATTGAAATCTCGGATATTTTCTTGCTGGAGGCAATCCTCAAGTATCTTCCCAAACTAGAGATACTCGGAACCTTCAAAAATCGAGAATGCTTCTTTCCCATTTTCTCCAATAACAAATTATCACTCCTTTCTAATCCTCTGATAACGTCTCTCCATCTGACGGGTGTGGTCATCCCAGAACTTCCACGAATGCAGACACTGAAGCACTTATACCTGCGATTTGTGCGTCTTACGTTACAACAGCCATTCAGGGATTTTGCAGCTCCATCTTTGCGTACATTCGTCATGGCCCACTGTGCTGGACCAATTAATCCTCTTAGACATGTTCCTTTAATTACCTCTCTAGCAATGGCAAAATCTCTACAGCGCCTGGATTTACTTAGAGTACCATTCCTTGGTGAGTTGTTTTTACCATTTATCATGTATCAAACAAACCTATGACATTTTGGGTTATCCTTTACATGGTCCTGAGTATGATAATAAACTACATCTGGCAGCAAGACCTCTGATTGGGAGATTGGAGATTTTGAGGAGCATTAATTGCTGTTCCCAGGTCTGCCATGACTCTGTGTGGTAGCATCTGTTAGTCCTAGCCATGGTCAAATAATGAACCCTCAAACAAAAACAAAACACTATGAAAGTATATCAATACATTTTTATAGTAAAAATACCAGCAATACATTTTTTATATAAAAAGAATTACCAACAATACCTATTTATAGTAAAATTACCAACAATACATTTTATCTGTATTTGAAGGCATACAATTACATTCAAAATATATTTAATTGAAGCCATAAAATTGTGTTCAAAATATTTAGATTTTGGCATTAAATGACCCATAGAGATTGATATGCTGCTAAACAAGATTAACCAACCAAATATCCTATGGATGAAAATTATGATGAAAAAAAAGAAGATTATCATTGAATTTGGTCCTTCCCGTCTGTGTATCATGTGTACATTTTTTTTGCATCCAGATGTAATAAGTAAATAAATAAGCAATAGTATTCTATAATTAACATTTAATAGTTATCTCCCTTGAAAAATCTTTACACTAGAGCACAAAGAAAGATTCCCCACAATACTCATTCACTTGTTAATCATCTGGATTTAATTTTGCATTCTTTAAGTTAGATCATTCTTGAGGTACCGTAATTTAATACATCTATTGATAAAGCACCATTTTAGCAGCTTAAAAATTACATCTAGACATACAAGCATAGTTTTGGTATTATATAGTATTACATATATTTGGTATTAAGTTAGCACTTTCTAGTAGTACCTTAATTTTTTAGTTCTAAATAGTATTATATATTAGTTATATCAAAGAAGAACTATAAATGAATTTAAATTAATTAATCAAAAGCTTTTTTTTAATAGACTTTCAAAAAAGAATTTTATGTCTTTGCATGTGGTAGGACTCCACTCCAAGTTTTGGTAGGATAGTAAGGAGAGTTCAAATTCCAGTTGAGTTCATTGCATTCACTTATGCGCAAATATACCTTTAGAAAAGACCAGGTGTTGTAAGTTTGGAGGTGGTGTAATGGATAATGGCTTGGAATTGTTAATCAGAGAGCCGAGTTCCATTTCCCGTGGGCTTCGTTATATTCACTTAAGAAAAGTATGAATCTGGCTTTTCTCCTCCCCAGGTATGGCTTAATTAGTAAGATTTGTATCACTAATCAATTATCTCAAAAAAAAAAATTTAAAAAAAAATTGTCACTATCTCAAAATATTTTCTAATTTTAAATAATCTGCAAAGTGTTGATAAGCCATAAAAAAATGAATCAACCGACCAAGAAAGGTATGAATTCATTTCTTCTCCCCAACTATGTGTTAAATAGTAGGAGTTGAAGCTGTAAAAATCATTATCTCCAAAAAATTGTTACTGCAATATTCACTTGCAAAAAAAATAAAAAGAATTATTCTTACAATCCAAAACCTGATTTTGCTTTAAATAACTCACAGATCCATAAAAAAAATCAAATACTTCTGAGGTAGCTTATCGGCAAATTACTACAAAGCTGTCAGTTTTAAACATTGCTGTTTTTCTTCAAACCAGATAAATTATTTGGTTCCTGTCTTTTTTCTTTTCTAGGTGGTCTCATTCAACATATTGTTGATGACAGTTGGAGAGTCCAAGGCTTCCGTAATCTGCAGGCAATTACCTTTGGTGCATGCAAGCATGCTCTTGAAGTAGATCTGGGTTTCCTCATTATCACCTGTGCTGCAAAGTAAGTCTTTAATACCAATATTATCCTTCTACTTCCATGAGATATTTGTGCTTCTATCAAATTCTCTCACATGAAACTTACCAAGCAGTATTTTATATAAACTTGTTCTTGATTATAGTTAGATAAAGTTAGCATTTCTTTTTATTTAGCACTAATGTTTCTACAAAATTCTTTTATCTAATGCTAATGTTTCTACAAACGGGGTTCGTACAGGTCCTGAAAACTATGAAAAGTCCTGGAAAATTGATAACCCAAAATGCTCATTGAAAAGTCCTGGAATTTTCAAAATTGGTCCACCCATACATCGTGTTTCTCAATTCATACAAGTCAAAATGCCAAATACCAGAAATCTGGCTTTTTTACAAGCGAAAATTGTCCTTTAAAGAAAAATGTTTTTTTTTTTTTTAGTCATCAGTAATATTTGGCAATTATTGCAACCAGTTTCCTTGATTAAAACAAGTTCATGACGTCGTAGTTACTTCTGTATTTTCTTCTATATTTTCTCGTTTAGGTGATGAGAAAGGAAGATAGAATAGGACAGAATGTCTTCTCCTCTCACTCAACAAGAAAAGAGGAAAAGCAAAGATAAAAGGCATCGGAGACAAGTAAACGTCTCCGTCAAAGATAAATTAATCTACACTCATTGAATTTGTAGTTGAATAGAAAATAATAAATTATTTTACAGTAATAAAATACATTTTAGTAGAATCAGGAAAAATACATCAGTGTTTTTTAAAATTTGAACATCTGAAGAAATTTTATTTACATGTCAATTTCAAAAGTAAAACGTCCTTTTGATCTTGAGTCAACAGTGGGTGAGTTCATACTCAAAAAAAATAGGTACTTTACACATCCTGTCTGAATGTGTACCTATGTGTAAACAACGTTTGTCTAAATTGTTGCCAAAAGTAAAATGTTTGAGAATGAAATTTGACTCAAAGAAAATGTAGACAGGAAGGATGATAGAATAGAAAATGTACCTTTGATGTGTCTTAGGATTGGATAAAATATGAATCTTTGAAAAAATAAGAAGAATGTTTGCAGGCTAATAATGACCTGTATCTCTAGCTTCTGTTTTAAGTGTGAAAAATTGATTAAAACTGATTTGTCTTTTATTGCTTGGCTTTACATTAAAATTTCAATCTGTCCCTTTACTTTTGTATTTCTACATTGTGTGCAGAGCATATATAAACCAAAACTTTTACTCATACACCACAGTATTTCCATCTTCAGGGAAAGATGATTGCTTGGTTACTGAAAAAAAAGACTATCAGAACTGGTTAACTCCATCCATAGATGTTTCAAAATGGAAAGCCAACTGCACAGTGTACAAAAAAAAATAAAAAACCCGTCAAATATGAATGATGTCTTATTTCCAATGAAAGTGCAGATTTTTTTGTCTGTTTCAAAAGATATTGAATCGTTTCTGATAAATATCAGAGCGATAAATTGTTGCTTCCTTTCCTTGCAGATAGTCTTTTTAGCATGATCATGAAACTGTTAAGAAGATTTATAAAGGAAGTGTACATTAAAGAGATAATTACATTGTCCAAACTGAATGAATTTGTAAGAATTTTATCAAGCCCAGACATGCATAAAGACGCTGCAAAGATCAAGTGTGGATTTCTGGCAAATATGGCTATGCAAAATTTATCCAAAAAACGAAATGGATGAACAAAAGATCTGTTTGCATGTAGTTTGAAAGCATCTATGTGGCCTTGTGGATGACAAATTATTTTCCACCCTACAACCCCTTTCCCACAGACAAAATATTGCAAGCCTCATGCTATGGACAAGTGTTCTTACAGGCTTCTTTCTCTGGTTCCACCAGTCCTGACCTGTACAGCGAGGACCCACCATACCATGTACACATTAGCAAATCATCCTCATCCCTTTGTATTCTATTAGTGAGAAATAAGTTCCATTCAGACAGCTTCTTCTAAAAGAACTTCTGCTTTGCGGAACAGACTCCTGCCAGAATTACAATCTTGACTTCAAGTCTAGGCTTAACCATTATCTTTCCTATATAATCTCATGAACTGCACTTGCTTTTTTCTTATAATCATACAAGACCACACAGTAACCCTCTACCTTGAATGACTCTTGGGGTAATGGGTGAATATTATTAGATAAAAAACAAAAAACTATTCTATAATCTGATTTTCTGCATTTAAGTGACTTCATTGAATGATAGTGTTTGAATTTCACAATAGTGTTGTCATATCCTGCTATGGCAGCAAAAAATGACTTTGACTTGCATTGACAATGCAGCTACTGCTGTTGAAGTGGACCATGTAATACTCTGGAATAATGCAGAGTGCTAAACATTAAATAAAATATAAATATAAGAATTGGATCAACTTTTATTTTTGAGTGAATAACAATAAGTTTTCATATTTTCAGATTAACTGAACTTTGTGTCCAACCATCTCTAACCAAAGATAATCTGTTTGCTGCTCTGACAATGGCTGAAGTTACTTTTCCCAATTTTAAATCCTTAACACTTGGATTTGTGGATTCCTTTCCTGAGCCTGGTAAGTGTTTTGCAGTATTCCCACATATAAAAGATAATGATACTGTATCTTTTGTGAGTTTGATCTTTACTAGATGCCCAACACTTGTGGCCTTGTGCCAATTTGAGTTAAGCTTAGTAAATACTGTTAATATATTCTTTGCTAATGGTTTATACAGAATTTCAATGAATCACTTCAGATGTGTTCCTATCATGATACAATAAATTTTCTATCAGAATATAGGGTTATCTACCCTTGACTAACATATACTTTTGTTCAATGTAACTTTGAAGCAGCCATAATAATTAATATTATATGTTTGCATATCATATATATGATTAGGCAAAGTGGATAAGCTTATAAACAACACATTTTGTTAACATGTGTTTGGTTCGGTTTCTTCAGTTTGGAATGAAAGACAAAATTATGTGTTAAGAAAATATCAGTCTGATAATGAGAGAAAAGGATTTAGTAAGAAGAAAATGTATTGAGAGTGCAGTAATCTCATAATTCCCAAGAATAAACTTAAGATCAGGACCATATATAATATCACTGATCATCACAAAAGCAATAATAGCACAATGTGGTATACAAGCTAGTAGAAAAAAAAAAGATCTACTCAAAGTGGGCTGATTTAAAATCCAACAGACATCAATGGCCCTGACGTTTATTTTTATATATATATATATATATATATATATATATATATATATATATCCTCAAAATTCCAATGCATTTTCCTTACACACAGTTTTCTTTCATTCTGACCTGAAGAATCCAAAGCCAACACGTCATCAAAATGCGTCATTTATAATGCATACATAGATGTAATGTGATTTCGAGACCTAAATGGAGGACATGCCTAGAAAAATGAAAATGTTACTACAGCAACCATATCAGAATGGAATGATCTGCCTTAGACATGTGTGTAATATTTTATCTTTGATAAAAAAAAGGCCCCAAACTTAATAAAAACAAAGTTTTATCTTCAAAATATTAGTAAGAGGAAAGATCAAAGTTTTCTTTTATTATTTTATTAAATTTTTTTAATACTTTCTAGCAGATTCAAAATTTAGGTAAACATCTTTGGGTTTTTTTTTTTTCGAGTGAAAAACACATTGTATACTGTCTCCGGGATGCGTGTATTTCGTTGAAATGTACACAACCCTTAGACAGTTAGCATAAACTCTCATCGACAATCAAGACTCTGAGACATGGTATGTTTTAGGCACAGGTTTATTGACAGTCGACAAAGGTAAAACTGAAAGAAAATAAAAACACGTTTCTTCAGAAATACAAAATGAAGGTGAATATTTACGAAGACCTTAAGTAGTTGTAGGTACGATAAGCTTACAGAATAGAAGCATTTGAACATAAAAAATACTCATAGAAAGAAAAAGAATACAAATTATGCTGAGTAACAGTCGAGTTCAGAGAGGAAAGATGGAGGTTCCGCACGTGGTGAGAAGGTAAACAAAGTTCATTTAAGGAAGGAAATGATACTAAAAAATAATGCTTGCATTAAATAATTCCATAATAGGAAGAAAGAAAGGCGATAGTTCTGACCGGAGATGTCCAAGAATGACGAGATATTTAAAGGATGAAAACTATGCCATGCGGCCAAGCTGGGGGCATGCCATGTGGCCGTGCTGGGGGCAGCTAAACTAGATAGAGGCTGAGCACCGGGAACCTTCAACTGGTGTAGAGTCAGAAAGAAGCCCCCAAGCAAAGGGGCCGATAAAGGGAGATGGGTGCTAGTAGGTCTGTTGTACACAGAACAGAACACATTGAATTGGAAATTCTTGTGAAAATTAAATAATTGTTGGATTTTAATGGAACTTACAGGTCTTATTCACAGATGAATGAAATTATTTTTCAATTTTTTTTTTTTTTTTTTTTTTTTACATATGTTACCTTCCACTTACTTAATTTTATGGATTTTGAGAGATTAAATTGCACTACTGTCCACATCTTTGTTGTTATCACATTTCAGCCATTGTGACTTCAGGCCTTTATCAGTTGTATGTCGATATGGGTAACCTACAAGGAGTTTACAAACTGAATCCTTTATTTAATCCATGGGGGTAGATTGTTTTCATTCCACTACCCATGTTTGAGGATATCTCATCTAGTTCTTATTTTACCACTTCTCAGTTATTTCTCCCTAACCAAGTCCAAGTACACACTGCCCATCCCAGAGATTGAACTCATAATTACTATGTTGCCAAATTCACAAAACAACTGTGTAATCTCCTAGGCTATTGTCTTTTAACCCAATAGTCTAATGGTTGGCTTGTGAATTTGGTGATATAATTGTCAGTTCAATTCTTGGGCCAGGTGGGGTGGACTTGAACTCAGTGGAAATGGGTGAGCATTAAACGAGCAGTACTAAATTAGAACAAGATTAGATATCCCTAGATTTGAGCAGTGGAATGAGAACAATCTATCCCCATAGATTAAGTGAAGGGTTCAGTTAGGAATTCCCTATAGCTTACCCAGATCAACATATATCTGGTGAAGGCCAGAGAACATAATGAAGAAACTAGTCCACATGTAAATGTTTTCTAGCAGTGTTTTACTAGAGAAATTCAATGGAAATCAGAAAGGTATTGTTAGTGGTCAGAAATTAATGAAACCATTACTGACAGAATAGAGATATTATATATAATTATTTTTTGTTGCAGTATTTTACGATGGAAATGCATTTAAAATCAGGAGGAAAGGTATTGTTAATAGTCAAGAATGCGTGCAAAACTTGCTGATGGGGACAGGGCTATTGTGTATATAATTATTTCTTTATGGTAGTTTTACTTTAGAAATGCATTGAAAATCTGGAAGAAAGTCCTGAATTTAATGCAGACATTATAGAAAGAGAAGAACTGTAACATAATTACAACTTTTCATTTTCTAGGGAAATGGACTGCTGAAGAACTCATAACTGAAGGTTTGGTTGAGGTACAAGAAAATCCAGCCATGATTACAGATATCGGTATGAAAGCAGCTGGTCGCTGTTTTCCAACTGTCAGTCATGTGGAAATTTACAATTGCCCCCACCTTCACTATCCTTGCTCTTGGTTCTATCCAGGTGAAAAATTTTCTTTTTTCATTTTTTCAAAATTTTTTTCTTCTTCCAAAGCAAAAATCATGGTTTATTTGATGCTATGCATGGAAATAGCTAATATTTACCATTTATAAACAAAATGGAGAACAATGATATATAGTGATGAAAACAAAATTAAATTATATTATAATACAAGATAGTATGTCTAAAGACAATTTAGCACAAGAAACAATCTAAGGACAGCCATTCTCAACCGTTAATGTGCTACAAAAGTATGATTGGATTCAAGATCCATTCATAAATGTTTCTTCTAGTATTGGCCTTCAGTTATGTGGAGGAGAAGAATTGGCCACCGTTTCTAGTGATTGAGGGCTCAAAATAAAACATTCAGTGGTATCCATTGATGCATTATATATCCCACATTAGCTAAAAAGGTTTTATCAATTTTATTGCAATTTTCTAATTCTAATTTATGTGAATTAGGCTTCACTCAACCTAAGAAGAAATGAGAGTCTGCTTATCGCACATTCAACCAAACACTGAAAAAATCACAAAAAAACAAAAACCCCACCAAGCACAGGGTTCACACTAAATAAGCTGCATAAATAGTTGGATAGAAACATTGGAATAAAGTAAGTTCATATTTGTGTGTATTTTTTTTTAAATCTATGGTTTTATTTCATAAAATTTAAATGTATACCCTTTAAAAATTTTGCTAAGTGTGTTGTGATATTTTAATTTGCTCCTAGGTGTGCCATTGCTTAAAAAGTTTGAGAAACGCTGATCTAGGACATGCAGTGAGAACTGTTCAATTTTTTATTGATGCAGCTGGTTACCATTTCTCAACAATTAGTCATATGGAGATTTACAATTGCCATAACCTTAATGATCCTTGTTCTTGATTCTATCCAGAAGAAAAAAAAAAATTTTTTTTTTTTTCTTGTCTCTTCTGAAATTTTAAAATGATTTATGGAGTCACCACTCTCCCAAATTTGAATTGTTAAAAATTTGTTCATTTTCCCAAAGCAAAATTGACTTTTTTTTTTTACTAATGTTCACCCAATACAGGGCTACTCAAAGTAGAGGGTTACTGTGTGGAGTTGTATTAGTGTAAGAAAAGGCACGATAACAGGAAAGACAGGCAACAAATTCTAAACTTAAAGAAGTCAAGATTATATTAGCAAATAAAATAGTAGAAGTAGTCTTTAGAAGGGACCAGAAACCTAATTCAAAATAATAAAATTTCAAAGTTCAGGCAGACATGTTAGATTTTGAAGTAATCTTTAGAAGAGACCAGAAACCTAATCCTAAACAGGAAACAATGGATGAACCTCATCTCCTGTTCAGAAGATGAGTTAGGTGAGTGAATCAGGCAACAGGCAAACCTATCAACTCCTATTGGGTGAGGAAAAAAAATAATAATAATTACTGAATAAAATTTCAGGTGAATATGTCAGAAGTATAGAGTTGAAGGAACTGGAAACCCAATTCTAAACAGGTAACAAGAAACCTCTACTCCTATTCAAAAAATCAGGAAGGAGTGAATGATGGATTATTGGCTGTTATCCAGTATACCACCCAAGACAAAAATACAATAACAAAAAAAAGAAAAACTGTTATGGAGTAACTGTGATATTTAGTAATAAAAACAAAATTCTTCTACATTCTAATGCAAGAGAGTATGTCCAAAGACATTTTGGTAAAAGAAACAATCCATGATATACAATAAAGGTTGTAAATTTTGGTGGTGCCTATCTAATGGCTTAATGCATTGTTTCCCAAACCTTTTCTAGCTGCCATCCCATTGACTCCCAGACTGTATGCCTAGCACCCCACCACCCACATTTATGGGCAAATACCATTAAGGGAGGTATGAAGCCATTTCCTCCCCACCAGCTATAGGTTAAGACTTGCATCTGGATAAATCATTATTCTTAAAAAAATGTTAATGCAGTATTCTCTTGCAGAAATTGAATTATTCTTACAGTTCAAAATATGTACCAGTTTTAAATAACCCACAAAGGGTTGATAAGCCACAAAAAGAAAATCAATTGATAATCAACTGCCTCCCATATACATAAGAAAGCATTTCTTTCTTGGTATTAGGTACACTGCAAATTCAAAACTGCAAAAACATCTTTGGCTATATAGCTGCACTCTACAAACTTAGTGCAGTCAGTTAAGATGACAACAGATGAACAGCTGTGGCTATATTACTACACCTAGAAACTCAGAGCAATGGCCCCTACAGACATTAGCTGTCTGATTAGGTTGACATGTGTCACATCCTCTTCTGATAACATCAGCATTATATGAACAAATGTTTGTACTTTTGACTTCAGACAATAAAAAAAGTTTCTTCAATTGTTAAAAAGTAATAATTAAAAAGAAAATAGAGTTTAAAATTTCTCTTTATTTTTCTTCAGAAAATAACCTCAAAAATATCACTTGTATTTTAAAACGCAATATATATATATATATATATATATATATATATATATATATATATATATATATATTCAAACAACAGGTTTGGTTAAATAATTTAAAATATATCATGCTGATTAATTTTTGTTGTGATCCTTTCAAGTTCATGGATTCATTTTTTGTTAGATTTAGAAAATTGAATAACAAAAATACCAAAATTTTCTTACTCAATTTTCTAAATCTACCAAAAAATTAATGTCTAAATTATTTTACTAAACCTGTCTGAATGAAAATATCCTGCCTAAATATACAGTATATATATAATTTATTTGAAAATTATAACATAAATATGTCATAAAATCAGTATTTTTATGTTAAAATTTTTTAATAAATTATATTTGCTCTACTCTGTATTGAGCACTCTTTAAGAATAGTATTTTTTGGTTATTGGAATTTATTATGTATGCACCAATCCTATACTTGGATGGATATATATATATATATATATAGTAAGCAAACATTTACCCAGACTTCCAGTACTTAAATCTAGCTTAACTGTAATATTAAATGCAAATTATGGGAGTTTTTAAATGCTATTATATATAGTAATTTGTTTTTCAATTTCTCTTCCTTAAGAAAAGATAAAATTTGGGTAAATTTCATCTTAAAAAATTACTTCCCTTAATACCTAATGTACATCCACCTTTGAATTAACTATTTTGGGCATATATTAATATATATGAATCAATCAAGTTGTCAGATCCTCATACATCGAAACCAATGGGAGAGTCCATTATATATACACTTCAGAAAAGGGTAGTGGCAAATGTACATACTACATTCACAGCACAGGCATTGTTTTATTACCCAAAATTTTGAGTAGCACAGTATTTGCACTGCAATTTTTCTTAGAGAAAAGTTCATTTTTATCTAATTTTTACTTCAATATGTTAACATTATTACTTCTTACTTGCATTAAACTGAAGTGGCAAAAAATTATATTTAATAGTATGATGGATAGTTTCTACCATACCTAGTAATGGTTGATGTATGTGTGACATTACATGTACAGAAGTAGTGTAGCTGTGGCAGTCATAGGTCACAGGATTTAATATCTTTTGACTGTAGAGTAATTGTTAGAGTCAGAAAGATGGATCATTCTGTCTGCAAGGTGGCAACTATTCTAGGTTTTTCTTACAGTAACAGTAGCAAGAGTATACACACAAGCAACTATGCAATATATACCTATGCAATAGTTCTCGTACTTTGGTGGGCTGCCAGTGGTCCCTTGGTGGCAGGCAACTGGCAGACCACAAGTGGGTCTCTAGTGGTAACATTGCCAAGAGGAACACGTGAGCAGTCTGACAGTGGGCCACCAGCAGTAAACACTAGTGGCATACCACCAGCTTGCATGTAGGGTAGGAACATGTGAATGACAACAACAACAATAGTCCACATGTAAATAGTATAAACAATATACAGATCGTGTTGCATGTCATTTGTATTTTTTTATATCCATCATATTTCTTAATGCCAGCAAGATAAAACATCCCTCCATTGTATGTGTGTGACATGAAATTGGATTCAGGAACATTTGACTGATTTTTGGGTATTGCCCTGCTCATCAGATTAAATCCCATTGAGTATGTAATGGTCATGTTACAAATCTCACTAAATTCCCTGCAACCACACCCAATAAGCACAACTTGGATATGAGCAGACCAGAAACACACCTGGATAAATAAACCTATGCAATAGTTCTCGTACTTTGTAGGCTCCATGCCATATTGCATAGCCACCATTATTCTGGTAGAGGGAAGTGCTACATGTCATTTTTTTAGCACTTCAGTTTATTTACTGAGTTACAACCTTTACAACTGCAATTATATAAATAGCCTACTGTAATATATTCAGCAGTATAGCTTAATCATAGGCACTCATAGTATTTTGTTCAAAAGAATATGTCAGTTTTACAAGTGGTCAAATAAAAGCAAAGCACATAAGTTACCTCATTTATATTTACATATGATTATAAAACATAAATGGAGAAATCAAAGAAAAGTAAATTCTACTCAAGTCCAACTGTCCATCTGTACAGTTAAGTGGTCAGATAAAATGGTTTTCTTGCTTGTGAAGAAAAAGACATAATCCTTTGTTCAGGTTTTTCACTTTCCAACCAACATCTTCTATATAATAAATGCAAATGTCAGTGTATCACTGTGTCACACTTTTTCGACTTTACTCCTAGAGGCCGTAACCCAACATAAATCACTTTGGAATTCGGTCGACTCTGTGAGCAAGTTAAAAACATTTCAGTCCAGATCTGGACCCGCAATCCTGAAACTTTGGATTTCCAAGTTTTCATTACTGTGATTGTTTTCAGATTCTGCCATCTTGGCTGCTACTGATAAAAACAATTAAAGGGACAAACTTTCTAACTTTCAATAGCTCATGTTCAAATGAAAAAAATTACTGTTTTCAAATTGAATTGTTTCAAAATAAAATTGTCTGTGTTTTCAACTTATATCATACCATTTTGGAATCAAGCTAACTCCATGAGCAAATTAAAAACATTTTGAGCTGGATCTAGACCTGCAATCCTGAAATTTTAAATTCCCAAGTTTTCATTATTGCAATTGTTTTTGGTGATTATGTATTTTTTTGAAACAAATTTTTTTGTACAATAACAATTTTTTATAACTTGGAAATAAATATAGGAACAATAAATAAATTACAAAATCCAGTGAAAGTCACTCATGAAATAAAAAAATAATTGTTTTTACAGAAAGTAAGAACCTATGTACCACAAATTGTCTTTAAATTAAGTGGCAGTAGAAGAATTATTGTTGAACTTTTAAAAGGGAAGCTTAAATATTAATGCAATATTTAAATGCAGTGATCAATTTTGAGTTCTTCTACTTCACAGAGTCAAATCACCCTCATTTCCTCCATGTTTCAAATGTAAGAAGAATGTTCCACTCAAACAGCTTTTCCTCAAGAATTGCCACTTTGTGGAACAGACTCACATATAGGGTGGGTGCTTCCCTGAACACTTCAATCTTGACCTCTTCAAGTCAAGGATCAATCGTTATCTATCCTTCTTGCTTCCTACTGCTGTCTCTTTCATTCATATTGCACACTTCATTCATCAATAACATTTTGATTTTAAGCATATATCTTGAGTGACTCTCACCTCACATCTTATATTGAAGCTTACAGCCACATTACATTGAAATACCACTTCAGGTGATTTAATGGGTAATAACTTGGAATTGTTAATCAGAGAGTTGAGTTCCAATTCCTGTTGGGTTTCTTATATTCACTTATGCACAAATACCCATGGAAAAGGCATGAATCCACATATTCTCTCCCTTGCTACGGGTTAATTAGTAAGACTTGTATCACCAGACCAATACTATCTAAAAAAAAAACAAAAAAAAAAAAACAATTCTTACAATCTAAAAATATTTTCTGGCTTTAAATAACCTGCAAAGGGTTAAGACATAGAAAATCAATCTTGTACTGGCATACATAGAAGAAAATGAAATATTTTATTACATTAATTATATTGCCAAATCACATTAATATCCTTATTTAGATGAGATCTTGATAGCAGATTGCCTTTTTAATGTTTTCTCTCTTCAGTTGTAGGTTTTCAACTCTGATATGAAAATACTTAAGTCACCTATGTTAAACTAGGATTTTATAAAAATAAGATGTTGCCATAAATGACACAAAAATGCTAAACTCTTAATGATAAATAACCTGTGAAATATTCCATCCATTTATAGCTCTTATTTTACTAATGTGTATTTTTCTGTAGATCTGGATGTTGTTTTTTTTTTGCTTCTTTTAGATGCAAACAGCTGGTCTAATCTTCGAGATCTGCATTTAAGGAGATGCCATGCTATCCGGTTAGAAGATCTGAATAGATTCATCCCAATGTTACCATCTCTGGTGTCTCTCCACCTGGAGTTTATGCTGAGGGAACCTCCTAAAGGCTGTGCTAGGTTAGTGATGTTTTCCTTGAAAATCGATACTTGTCTGCATTGTGACTCACATCAAACATTTTCATTAGGCAACACTATAAAGTTAACAGACAAACTAGTTAAACTTAGTAAGGAAGATCCTTGTTTCTAGAAAAATATTGTCAGGTTTTCTTTTCATTTACAAGATGAATGTGTCTCTTTCAGGTTCATAAAAAGAAACATGAATAATTTTAGTAAGAAAATCATTATTTGCTTTAAAAAATAATTACTACCAACATCATTTCCAAAACAGATCACTTGGGAATACCAAGTGCTGTAAGTTTAGATGTGTGGGTGGTGTAATGGATAAGATAATGGAATTGTTAATCAGAGAGCCGAATTCCAATTCCTATTGGGTTCATTATATTCACTTGCACATATAAATATCCTTGGGGTAATTAGTACAACTCGTATCACTAGACCATTATTATTGTCATATTCACTTAGGTGCAAATACCTATGAACCTACCTCTTTTCCCCCTCCCCCAGCTATGGGTTTAGTAAGACTTGTATCACTAAACCATTATTTTCTTAAAAAATAATTCATACAATCTAAAAATATTTTCTGGCTTTAAATAACCTACAAAGGGTCGATAAGCCATAGGAAATGAATTACTCAATCAATCAACCAAATCAAATCCTTGGAGACCTGACTGAATTGTTGAAAAATTTGAATATGTGATGTTAGTGCAATTAAATTGACATGTCTCAAAAGTCATTGAAAATCAAGTCTTACAAGTTGAATTTATATGAAAGTAAATTGATTTCTCATTTAAATAATACCAAACTTAGCCTCCTTCATATTAATGCTCATGAGATATGGTTTTGGAAATCTACAACTTTGTAAATGTTGTAGATTTCTGGCACCACTAGTTAATCATGTGACAAATGTTAATGTTGTGTTCTGAAATTCAGTGCTACCCAATTGTGGGTGCATTTGGGTACTCCTGGACTGTAAGTCTGTAAAACTTGCATCTATATTTGGGTGCTTCTATATTTATGATTCATACTGACCTTAAAGAAAAGTATTTTTATTTTGCTTCAACTAAGAATTTGCAAGAGATTTCTACCCCCCCCAAATTTGGCAGGCATTAAAACAATTTAATCTGTGAGTATCAGTAACACCTCTTATATTTTAGCTATCCCCACGTGCATGTTAACACCTCTGTATATTATAGCTATCAACTAATGTTAACAATTTAGCTATCAACGGGAGATTTCTACTATCAACACTGCAGTTATATTATTTTATAGCTATCAACACGTATGTTAACACCTTATTTATAGCTATCATGCTATGTTACTCTGTATATTATAATTTCACATTTAATCTGTGAGCTATCAACACATGCATGTTAACACCTCTGTATATTATAGCTATCAACACGTGCATGTTAACACCTCTGTATATTATAGCTATCAACACATGCATGTTAACACCTCTGTATAGTAGAAGAATTTGTTAACACCTCTGTTCATGAATTCTCTGGTGCTTATAGTAGAAGAATTTTCATTCATGAATATCTGGTTTGGGCTATTCTCATGTAAGTTAAATGCAATAAAATTGCTGAAAAATGCAAAATATATTTTAAATATATCATCTGCACATTCTTGCCTCTTGGAACTTGCAAATTAGTGTTGTCAAAAACTTACTCCTCATTGAAAATAGATTCATTTATTTCCCTTGCTTCAAACTTTTCATCAGAGTCAAGAATGGCTTGCAAGGTTCCTTGAGCATTCATAAACCTATTTCTATATGTTATAGTAATATCTATCAGTCACAAATCACTTCTTTTGAAGCACACTCCTAGCATTGACTATTTTCTGCAGCCACACCCAATAAGTACCAGTATAGTACACAAGGAACATGATGGTAATAGTGAAATTAGCCATTTCTATACAGCCAACCTTTGGCATTCATTGACCAAGCATTACAAGTGTTACTGTTGCTTGAAATTTAGAAACTCTTTAATCTTAAGAGGTTTTCAGGAAATTAGATTTCTCAAGTTCACTAAATGATAGAACTCTTTCTTATATTGATAAGAGTTTCTTTTCAAATTTTCTGTTTTTGATAGTGTAGAAAGTTAACAACTTGATTATATCATTACTTCTCCTTCTCATTAAATGTGCTAGCCATTTTTGTTGTTGCTCCTGCAGTGTTCAACTGATAAGGTTTTCATTATTTGGTAAAACTCTTTATTTATGATTTTGTAGCATCAATTTGATAGGGTCTGATAAAGAATAAAGAATGCTCGTCAGAGTAAAGAAGCTTCCATGTTACTCAAACTGATTCAATGGTATATGCTCCTTTATGGCCAATTGATATTCTTAAATTAATTTATAAACAAATGCATGTGTTTTATCAACCATATCTGGCCAGTCACTCTGGGAAGGGTTAAAAATGGTCTGTTTGTGGGTTCAAATCTTTCTTCTTACTATTTTGTGTTTTACATATTGATTCAAAAAAATCAGATGTTTGTATTTTTCTAGGTTTACAGTGATTTTAATTTTGTATTTAAAATTACAACTTCTTTTTTTTCTTTTTTTCTTTTTTTTTTGTTAAATATTTTTCTATTTAATTTTTTCTCTCTCTCTCTCTCTTTGCTAGAGTTGGTCTTAGTGCTGGGACTGGTCTTGGGGTTTCTTCGGCCCTTGTACAGAATAATGGTGCAGATGCTCACAATCAGCCAAATGCTGCAGCAGCTGCAAATAACCATGGGGCAGCTCCTCCTCCTGCACAACCAGCTGCTGCCCCTCCACCACCACCCCCGTATCCTCCTCCACCACAACCACCACAACCACCTCCTCCTGCCGCAGGACCTGGACCTCAACACCACAACCAACCTGCACAGGCACCACAACCACAACCACCACTGCCGCCGCCACTGCCACCACCGCCTCCACCACCACCACCACCAGATCAACTACCGCCGCCATCTCCTCCTCCGCCTCCTCCTCCTTCGCCACCACCGCCGCAACCACCACCTCCAGTGAATCCTCTTGCTGAAGAGAATGATGGGGGTCCATCAGCTAGGGCCATTGCTGTAACAGCAAACCTTTCAGGTTATCACCAAGTGTCTGCTGCTGATCAATGTCCAGAAAATGTCAGACACATGGCTGATACCTTGAAATCTCCAGACAGTGACAATGGGCTGGGAAGTGTAGATTCTTCTGAAGAGGAGGAGGAAGATGAAGAAATGGACCTTCTACCTGCTCAATTAAGGGATTGTGGCTTAAATCAAGAAGAGTCTGTACAGCCAGGCCCATCTGGGATCCACAGTCATTGTCCCAATCATTCTTGTGTTTCAACCTCATCATTGTCTTCTAGTCAATTAAGTGCAGGTGAGTACAGTCCAAGTTTTTCTTCTAAATAATCATCTTCATAAAATCTATCCCATGTTATTATGCTTTACTTGATGACCAAGAAGAGGAATTTGTCTCATTCTACACAATGCTAATTTTGTGCTGTTTTTGATTGTAAGATAGATTAATTGTTAAAATATGAAGTTGGCAATAATGAAGAAAATCATATGAATGGTTATACAATATTCTTCATGACTCAAAAACTTTAGTTAATTGCTGCTCCATCATTTTCTGGTATATATATCCAGACAGGTGCCTGGCAGTACATTAAAATTCTTTTATCCTGACATGTTCCAGGAAGTATAATAAAAATTCTTTTATCCTGACATGTTCCAGGAAGTATAATAAAAATTCTTTTATCCTGACATGTTCCAGGAAGTATAATAAAAATTCTTTTATCCTGACATGTTCCAGGAAGTATATTAAAATTATTTTTATTCTGACTTGTTCATGGCAGAATTTTTTAAATACAATAAAAAAAAAGATTTAGTCTAGCCACTGTTGCTATGTAACAAACTCTTTTTACGAAAACCTTTGAGTGGCTTTAACAAGATAATTTATGTAACTCTATTAAAATAATATAAATTTATTTGTAGAAGTTAAATAAAACATTAAAATTAACAATCAAAAATGGTAGCATCAGTAAAATTATTTTCAGTAAAATATTGTAACATTGTTGTACACTGTTGTTAAAAAGGAATTTGTCTTAGTCAAATGATCAAAATGATCAATTACTTCAAAGTAAACATGTTAAGTAAAGAGTAGCTGTTAGGTTAATATTCTCAGTACTATATTTTTACCAATGGTAAAGAAATCTTAGAAGTGTCTGAAGTTTTTTACTCCTTGTGTATGCATACTCTTCAAGTATCTTTTTTGTGGAAAAGTGATCATTTTGATAAAAATCATGGCTGAATATAAAATGTGCACTTGACACTGTGTTTAATCAGATAAAAAAGGTTGATGAAAGTAAAGCTGGGGATCACTGAAATTTATGGTACAAGCATGTTTTCAGAATGGTTTCCAAAGTTTCAAACAGAAGATTTTGAGCTCAAAAACAAAGAATGCTCAAAAAGGTGTTAATTCGAAAATTGATGAATTAGTAAAGTATAGTTTTTGCTTTAAAAATGATTAAATTAAATATGTTTAAATATATCTTAATTTAGTTTATTTACTTTAGATGTTTTAGCCGGACACACACACACACACACACACACACACACACACACACACTCGAATATTTGAATAAATACATATTAAACTTTTTTCAATAATTGTATTTAATATTCTTCTTCTTTTAAATTTACTTTGTTGTTTTAATATTCATTTTTTTAATTACGCTTTTATTTACTATAGATGTGAAAATAAATTTAAGAGAATAGAAATTATAAAAATACATACTTGAATAGCGTTTAGCAGAATAAAAAAGTAAAAACAAACGGTAATTCAATTCGAGAATAAGAATTCTTACCGTTCATTTTTACTTTTTAATTCTGAGAATTTTGAATGCATTCTAATGCATTTTAATTTTAAATTAATTCCGTAAATACAAGTTATATGATGATTTTTTTTTTTTTACAAAAAGCTGGCTTGGGTGATAATGAGTCTATATATATATTTACTTTGTCATAACTATTGTAGTTTTTTAGTTTTAGCCAGACACACACACACACACACACATGCATAGATACAGACATCTGCCCTTTATATATGTATAGATTAGTCCCAAAATGTAACTTATTACTACTATTAATCCCAAAAGGTAAATTTTTACTACTATGAGTTGCAAAATGCAATTCATTACTATAAGATAATCAAAAAAGTCCTTGCCATTTTTTGATTTATTAGAAGAAAAAAAATGTATACAGAAAATTTGAAATAACCTTTAGTCCTCAAAGTATCCTCCAGCTGCACAATGTCTTAGCAATAAAAATCAGGTGTCTTGGACACTAAGTAGTCTGTGGGTGCCTGTCGCAAGTCTGCCTTATTTGCAGAGGATATCCCATGAATGTGTCCAGAGAATGGAAGAGGTAATAATTTGGTACAAAGTCCAGGGAGTAAGGTGGACAGTCTCACCCAGCCAAGTTGCCATATGGTATCCCTTGCCAGCTACACCACATGAGGCCTGGCCTTGTCAAAGAGGAACAGTGCACCCTTGCGATTAACCAATGCTGGCACCTTCTTCTTCAGTTACTTGTTGCAAGTACATGCCTGCAGTGATGTTTTGGCCCATTGGTAGCAGCTCATAGTGCACCAATTGTCAGCTAGTCCACCAGATACATAACATGTTATTGTATGGATGTAGAGGTGGTCTTGTGGTATGAGGTACTGAGTCCAGTGGTTGCAACCAATATCTGGTATGCTTGGGAGTATCATACACAGTCCACTTTTTGTCACTGGTGAGTACTATATCAAATATGGGTACATTGCAGTAGTGAGAAAGCAAAAGCTGTCATTTGCTGTTGCTTGTTGGCTTCTGACAGTGTGTGGGGTACCCACTTGATCAACTTGTATGACTTCTCTATGCAGTGCAGGTGAAGTCTGTTTCATCAGAAAGATGGAAGCATTCAACAAGCTCACTATATGCTTGACTGCTGTCTTCCTCTATGGCTGCTTTTAGAGCCTCATCAACCAGCACCTGTGACTGGCCATTCACTGTAAAGTTCATCACAATTGGACAGGGTATATCATTGTCTCAGACAAAAAAATGATGTTAGAAGATTTGTATTTTGTAGGTGAATGTTTTTTTTTATGCTAGTGTTTCTTCTGGAGAAGAAAGATTTGTAGCTAGTGCCTGGATAAATGATTATGATCATAAAGGGACAACTATACAAGATCATAGGAGAATGATATTCATGGTGATTTAATAAGTGTATTCAGTATTATGATACACTTTGTTGGAAAACTTTTTTTTATTCCTCCAGTACTGTTTAACTTTGAAAGGTTCTGGCTATACTGGGAACAAAAAGAAAAATTAATGAAAGTATCATGTTCCAAACTGCTTATAACCATCCATTAGTATTGTGGGTCATTGTTACAACATTAGTACCATGTGATTTTAAAACATTCCATTTAAAATATTATCAATATATATGTTGTATCCTTAAAGAGGTTACAAACAGACAAAGGTGGTACTCAAGTGAAGGAACAAGCAACACATGCATAGATGAAAGAAGAGAGGTTTATTGTAGAAGAAAATACACTACTGCAAGACAGAGAATCGGGTAGCAGGCTAGTAATTCCCGTGGCAAGCCCCAGGTATATCCTGTGCTCACTATATATAGCTACTGATATAGTCCATCCACATTGGTGATAGGGAGTGTGGGACATTCCATTACACTAATATATCATTTAGTTTTTAATATACTTCTATATTGTCTTGAGTGTTCTTTCTGGTTTTAATAGGATAAATAAAAATGAAAAACAAAAAAGGTCTTATTTTAAAAAGATTGAATTAAAAGGCTAATATTTAAAAAAAAAATGTATTTGTGAATTTCAAACATTCAAATCTGTAAAAATAAATTTCATTTTATTTTCAAAACAATTCATGACCAATCTCACTCCTCTTCAACTTTTTTCCCATTCCAAACAATGACAATCTTTACTATATGGTCATGTGTTTGTAATTCACACAAATATTATGACTAAAACCAAAAACTCTGTGTAGTTACTTGACAGAGATTCAGAAAGCTCCTTGATTAAAAATTGACTTGCTACTTGTTAAATTTTAAAAACATTTTGTGGGGGTTTTCAAACACCTAAGGGTACAAATAGAGGATTAAAACATCTTTTCAAAAGAGATCTTTGAGTTTGGGTATTAACACACAATATCTGCATTCAGACAAATACAGTTGAGTGTGAAGGCATTTAAACTATCTTGTGGTAACCAACTATTTTTATATAGATGCCTAAAATAGACATATAAAGTATATGGGCCAGAAACCTTTATAACCATTCCTTTAAGTTCTAGAGAATACATTGTAACATCAACAATGTGGTTTGATTTTAGGCCATGGTAATCTGTCACCTTTTTATGTAGACGTGTGATTGCGTGACTTTAACCATGAATACTACCTATCCATGAGATGTATGTAGGATTTGAAACATTTGGACTCTGGTTTCAATCCTATCCTAGCATGCAGTTGGGTGTGATCAGATGATTTGAAATCAGGAAATCTGATCTGTAACTTTATTATTCCTTCTTTCTCCAACTAACATTTCAAAATAAACCACATTAGACAAAGAAAATCATCAAACTGAAAGTATAGTTTTCCATATCTGATTTTCAGCTTATTCCCAAATAAGTCAAATCAAGCAAAGTATTAAGAAACAGGAAAATTTCAATAATAAGAATGAATAGAATGCTGAATTGCTATAGCAGTGAATGCTGGATGAAGAGGGAACTTGAGGCAACACAGACGCGGTTCAAAAAAAAAACATGTTGAGAATACCATGCACTGCACATATGATCAATGAGGAAATTTTAAGGAAAATTGAAACAAAAAGAACACTTAGAATCAGAAAGAGACATTTGAAATTTCTGGAACACATGGGGAAAGAGAGCTTGAAGTATTTGACACTCACAAAACATCTTGAAGGCAGGAAGGATAATAGAAAACTGAATAACATGCCTAACAAGTTTGTGTACATGGACTGTGAGAGATAGTAAGGGGACATTGCTCAGAGCTGCAAAGGATAGGAAGTTGTAGAGAGCTATCATCACCCGTGTCTTCAAGGGACATGGCATATGAAAGAATATTTTTCTAAAAAGGTTTAAAATAAAAAATCCTTGCTATTGATTTTCTTATCTTTGTGTATGTGTGTGTTACATTAAAGAAATGTATCAAAATAAATAAATACCAAAATCAGACATCCCTATTGAAATATTTCTGGCACTTAAAAGAAACCAATAAAACACCTACTGTGAAATGGAAATTAACAAGAAAAGCTATAATATGTAGATCATTAAATGAACCATATCCTTTGTGCATAAATGAGAAACTATATATTACTAAGTTTACAAAAAATAAGAATTTACTTAATCAAAGAAATGAAATAGCTATTCTTTGTTGACATTGTCAAAAAATTTCCTTAAATAATGTTTTAAAAAAAAGCTGATGAATGAAATATACATATTTATATTTGATATTTAATAATAATTTTTAAATAATTTAAGTAATTCTATTACATTTATTTGTTTTAAAAGAAGTATAGTCTATTAGTAATTAAAATTAAGAATAATATTTTAAAATTGTAGTTCAATACAACATATTCATATACAAACAACCCTTTTAGAAAAAAATATTTATGTATACAAGTACAAATTTAACAGCAAAACAAAGTGCCAAAAAACTTTTTGTTGTTGATAAAGACCAGACGACATGCATTGAATGGATATCATCATTTGTTGAAAAAGGTACCCCTACCCTACATTAACTTAACCTCTTTTTGAAAGTAACTCATATTTCTGTTTTTGAAACATGGTAATTCGTGTGTAGCAATGGAACCATATTTTTAAATTAGTAAATTTATAATATATATACCTCCACTATTTCGGCATAAATCTTTGATACCTAAAGTTTAAAATGAATTTTTAAAAATGAAAAAACTTTCTTGAAGATTTCATTTTAGCTTTAATTGAAATCTAAATGATGAAATTTATTATTTCCAGTTAGTAAAATATTCTGGTGTATTTCAGATAGAAATTATATTGATTGGAATGTCAAATTTAATTTTGATTTCTTAAAATTTTCTTAAAAGCATCCATTTTCTTAATTTTAAGAAATTTGTAAACAAAAAAAGTTTATCGATTTTAAAATTCTTTCAAGAAAACATATTTCTTACACATTATTTGAGTAAAACTAGAAAATTTAAAGTTAAATTAATCTGATTTGAAATAAATATTATAGCATAAAAAAGTAATATACAACCATTTATTTAATGACTGGTCCTCCTTATCATAGCTTATCTGAGGTAATAATGGATGGCTGATTGAGTGACAAAGCAATGACAGCTAGTATGGCTGGCTAGAATTGATACAAAATTTAAGAAATCTAAGTGAACACATTTTTGGGGGTTTTTAACTACCTAGTAATTTTTACAGATGAACATATTTTCCGCAATTATCTAATAATTTATTGACTTTTATTTACTTTTCAAAGATGCTTTATGCAAAAATAAAAAAAAATTTAAAATACTATAAAATTTTCTTAAATTAATTTCTCTGTAAAGAGACAAAACTCTTAGATCACATGGCCATTTCATAATAATGTTACGTTTAGACTTTCATCGATGAAAATAGGGAACAAATTAAGTAAAAAAATAAAAAATTATTATTTATTATATTTATTTCCATATAATTACTATATCACATCCAGGAAATAGCCCAATACAGAATTTTACACGATTTTAAACTATTATAAATTATTATAATTAAAATTTTTAAAAAAAATGAAAAAATTCTTGAAAAAATTCATTATTCATTGGAAAAATTTTATTTCTTCAGACAATAATGTCCTTAATATAATTTATTTACAAAAGTTAAATAATGTCATAGTTTTATTGCATTGATTATTTTTCAATTCAGAGCACATTTTCAGTTAGAATAGTACAAGTTTGAAAAAAAAGATTAGGTGATTTAGATTCTCCAAGGAGTTCTACTTTTAACAAATAAAAAAATTCAGGAAATAGGTTTTTTGCAAAATATGTATAAATAAATATGTTTGACTATCAGCTGGTTCATACCCCTCCTGGTCTTGTTTTCTGTTTAGGATTTGGTTTCCAATTCTTTCTAAAGTCTTTTCATTCTCTTTCACTTCCAGTAGCCCTTTGCGTCTTAGCAGCATTATCACCTTGCTTGTGATTTGATATATATATATATATATATATATATATATATATATAGACAGATATGTAGAAAAATAGGAAAGAACACATTAGGTAAATAATCTGGAGTTCTTTAGTACTTTTGTTTTTATTTAAAAAAAAAACAGTGCTCCATACAGAAGTACAGCTTAAATTATTTTTTTAAAAATATGATTCCTTCGCTACATAAAAGTTCTCATGTTTCAAAAACGAGAGCTGAAAACCTCAATATAGTTATTAAAATTAAATTGAATTAAAGTATCGAATCTGTTATGTAGCGAAGGAATCATATTTTTTTTAAAATAATGAAAGTCAAAAAGAAAGCAACTTTAAAACAGTAATAAAACAAAAAGTTCAGAAAATAGGAAGTGTTCACATCCAAAAGGGATACAGTGAAGTTTTTTTTTTTTTTTTTTTTGTTATTGATTTGGAAAAAATCCCAGCCTACATCTGTAGGATTTGTCTAAGTTTTGGGAAGGGAGATTTTTATCAGTCATTCCCACATTGTAACCAAAATTTTGACTATAACAGTCAAGTTTAAGACATAAGTTTAAAGAGATTAATGCATAATAAACTTAGCTTATTAAATTATTTTAAAATTTATTATAATACATTTAGCTTATTAAATAGTCATTTACTACTTTATGCTTACAGCCACATCACATTGAAACATTGGTTCCAATACAATCACCAGAGTTAAGCAATGTTGAGCCTGGTCAGTATCTTGATGGGTGATTGTTTGGGTATACCAGGTGCTGTAAGTTTTGATGTGCAAGTGGTGTAGTGGATAATGACTTGGGATTCTTGAACAGAGTGCTGAGTTCCAATTCCAGTTAGGTTCATTCTATTCACTTACATGCAAATACCCTTGAGAAAGGTACAAATCCACCTTTTCTTCCTCCCAGCTATGGTTTAATTAGTAAGACTTGTATCACTAAATCATTATTTCAACAAAAAATTCTTACAATTTAAAAAAAGAGAGAGAGAGATAAAAAAAATAATTTTTAAATAACCTGCAAAGGGTTGATAAACTGTAGAAAACAATCAAACATTATCTACTTTCTTTAGATGTAGGCAAAAGCAAAGATTTTGTAAATAAAATTTTAATGGTTTGAATTCTGTCGTATTGTCTTAATAATAATGATAATTTTTCAGATGCCAATAGGGATGAACAAGGAGGTGCACTAAACACAGGCAAAGTTGATATTTATAAAAAGAGCCCAGCAAAGTCAAAAACAATGTCAACTGCTGCAAAACGTCATCCACTCACCACTGCTGGCAGTGGTGCTCTCTCTGTCCAACCATCAACAAGTGGCCTAAAAAAATGTTCCCAGCATTCTGTGAATATTGTTCCTTCTACGGCAGCCAGTGATAGTTCAACAGCTGCTTCCCCTCAGGATGACCACCAGGACCTTGCTGAAGATGGGAACCAAGACAAACAGGGCCAAGATAGCAAGTATAATAAAAATCTTGCTAACATAGCACGCAGGAGACAAATGAGCCATTTGGGCCATAGTACAGCTGCTGCATCATTATCTACATCATCAGAATCAAATCAGAGTCTTTCCAGGAACTCAGGGAATAATAACAATAATACTAATAAAACTAATAAAGATTCTGCTTCTTCTCATTTTAATTGTTCTTCTGATGATAACCATACCTGTCCCTCCTTTGCAAAGGGTAATACATCTTCTCAGAGCAGGTGTCCATCTGAACCATTGCCTTGTACATCAACAGAAAAACCTCTCCCTACCTGTGATACACATTCTGATGACCCTGGAGTTGATTTAGAGTGTCTCTCTAACGGAGCTTCTTATAGCAGCATTAATGGAACAAGTAATATGAACATACATAACGAAAACTCCTCTTCAGACTTTTCTCCCTCCAGTAATAACCCTGTTGTTGGAGATTGTACAAATGATGCGGGTGATGGCTCCTTGTTGCCGCCATCATCATCATCATCATCCAAAGGGAAGTGCCTTCGAAGTGGCTGGAGAAAGAGTGTCAAATCTGTTCCGAAATCTAAGAAAATCTGTGATTCATCCTCGTCGTCGTCAAGTTCATATGTGCCCCCTACATTTTCCTCATCCAACTCTGTTTCCTCAGCAGAAACCAGCAATGGTGAGCCTACCAAAGTGAACCAATCGTGCCAGGCAGTTAGTGAGGAGATTCGAGAAACAACAAGGAAAGCCAAAGAAAATGAAGAAGCTGGCAAAGCTTCAGAAGGAAGCTCGAACATTATGAATGGAAATAGTGAGACGGGCTCAAGGCCAACATCTACTGGTCGAGGTGGCAGTGGTGTAACAACTGGTATGGCAGGAGGTGCATCAACATCTTCTGTTGACTCAACTTCAGTAGTGTCACCAGCCAGTTTAACTGGCTGTAGGTCTGCAGCAACAACTAGATCTGGCCCCAGATACAACAATTCTCGAAAAGCAGTGAAACGAAAAATGAATACCTGTGATCAAGCAACTAGCACAAGTGATCCAGTTCATGAAGAGGACCATGTTCAGGTGAGAGTCTCTTATTTTCAGTTAATGAACAGGAACATATTTAGGTGAGAATTTTTTATTGTCATCTTATAAAAGCAGCCATGCTCAGGTGAGAGTTTTTTATTGTCATTTTAAACTCAAACCAAGCAAAGACATTTTGGTAAAAAAAAAAAAAAAAATTCTACTTCATTTCACACTTTAACGCCATTAACTAGTGCCTTTTATTCCTCTCTATTTAACCCCACACAGTGAAAGATGTGCAGTGAAGAACTGGATTCAACACTCATGCCATCATTCAATTACTTTCAAACTTACACTGTAAGTACTATCCAGTACTAGTGATCACAACTTTTATTAGTAACCACAGTATTCAGCTAAATAAAATTAGTTGATCCACGCCATTGTAGCTGACTGTATCGCTTATCATTCACTATCAACTACTACTTATAACATCAATGTTATGGTCTATTCATGCTTGTCTATCTTTGCAATTCATGATCTGCTGCCCACTCCAAGTTTTTGTTATTCAGGCTTGTTTCTCAAGGTGACTAAGGTTTCATCTGGATCACACCCATTGACTTGTCTAGCTAGGTTGAAGTTGCAAGGAGATAAACTTCTGCTAGCATAAGTCTCTGGGTCATAGTAGTGCACAAGCCATTCCACTGTATCAAGTTACTTAATCATGGAGTGGCATCTTAATATAAGATGTAGCAAAAGGACAGTCTTGTATGCTCTATATAAGGTAAAATAGTCTACCATTTGACAATGAATGAGTAAAAAATATTTCTGTTAAAAAAGATATCTAAGAAAAAATGATTATTAAAAAATTTACACCAAGTAATGATTTCTTTGTTTTTTTTATATCAGTGTAGCTTTTTATCAGTTTTGTCAGAATATTTTCAAATTTGTGTGGTAAAAAAATAAAATAATCAGAATTCAAATGAAAAAAAAAAATTATGGTCAAGAGGCCTGAATTTTCCATGATTTCACAGAAATTCGTTTTGTGTAGTTTTGAATAGTCTTCAAAATGAAAATAGATTATAACAATACTACTTAAAATTTTTTGCTCAGTTTCAATCAACTTAGAATTTAATGCCTGGATGGTGTTTTGCAATCTGAAATCTAATTTTAACAATTTTTTTGTACTTTGCAATTCAACATTAAAAAAATACAGTTTGCTTCTCTAATTTTTCTCTCTTTCTCACTCTTACACTGAGCCTCAGGGAATTTGAACAACTTAATCTTTTTATCTGGACCTTTCGCACATCTCTTGAAATCCTTCCACCCAAAAATAAAGACAATTTTCTGTCATTTTTATTTCTTCAAGAAAATTAGTTCTTGCTTTAATTTCTCTGAAGTTTTTTGATAGAATATATATAATTAATATAAGTAAAAGTTTGTCACTTAGCTGATTAGTGTTACCGTCAGCATCCTGACTCCAGAGTTTTGTAAACTGACCTAACTGTCCACTCTTCAGAGGGTATCACCAATTTTTTTTACCAATTCAATAATATCAAAATCCACAATTCAGAGTTTCAAGTAGCAATGATCATCAGACAGAAAAATTGAGCATTGAGCCCTCAGTTTATTTATATTAGAAACTCTTAGCTTATTTTAAGCTTTAGCTTTTATTCTTACTATTTGTATATATGAGGGTAAGTAAAAAAAAAAAAATATCCGCACTTTCACCATAATATGTTTTTAGACAAGATTATGGATAATTTTTGACTTCCCTTCATGTGGGGTTGGTGTGCTAGTAAAATAAGTCAGAATTGTGGTGAGTTGATACACAACACATTTTGATTATATATATTTTATTATGTTATGGCTCAGTTGTTTCATATTTTAAGCTTTTTAGTTTATTAAAACTAACAGTGAAAATATTTTAAAGTTGTATTTAAAATTGTAGTTAAATAAAACATATTCTAACCTAAACACCTCCCTCAAAGTACTACAAGCACTTAAAAGAATCCAATAAAACACCTACAGTAAAATGAAATTAATATGAAAAGCTAGAAGATGTAAGCCATTGAATGACCCATGTCCTTTGTACTTACATGAGAAAATATATTACTAGGTTTATATATAAAATAAAAGTTTACTAAATCAGTGAAATTAATTAGCTATTTTTGCCGTCATTGTCATAAATTTTACTTAAATAATATTTAAATAGAAATTAAAAAAAAAATTGTGACCTAGTACTATACATACTTATACTTGATATGAAAATAATTACTGTAAGTGATTCTAATAAATTTACTTGTTCTTAAAAGAAATATAGTATATTAAAAATTAAAAGTGAAAATATTTTTCAAATCATAGTTAAATAAAATGTATTCTAACCTAAACACCCCCAAAAAATCTTTAAGTATACAAATAGAAAAAAATGCAGTAAGAATTTTTGCTGTTAACAATAAAATTTAAAAAAAAATCCAGACGACATGCATTTAACGGATGTCAGATTTCATTGAAAATACATCCCTACCCCTACCAAAACATAACTAATAACTGATACATCAAAATACAGCAATAATGAACACGCAAACACACCTCGTCTGGTTGAATGGCTTTCTCTGTAACCTTGAAAACGTGAATTATGATTTTTGCTGTGCCTTTAAAACCCAGTAATTTTAAAAGTTACTCCAAAATTTGCTTGAGGATGAAATGGAACTAATGTCTTTAATTTAATTACAAAATTAAATTTGAAGCTTTTAGCTTCCATTTTTGAAACATGGTTAGAACTGTGTAGCGAAAAAAAACATATTTTAAATCAATTAATCTATAATATATATATAATATATATATATATATATTATAAGTTTATCCAATTGGATTTTTCATGCAATATTGTCCTGGGTTTTACTCTGGAATCATTACCATGAAACAAATTTCAAATGCCTTTTACTTATCATAAACTATCTGGTTGAGTAATGAAAGCATTACACTGGAAATAGTTGAATTTATATTCAGACATTTGCTTCATTTAACACAGGATCTACTAATTTGTAAATGAATTGAAACTATCTATAATACTATTGTGTTATGGTCGATGTAAGTAAAATGTTGGCAACATCTTTCAAGGGCAAGTAATCATGCAAATTTATTAATTAAAATGTATGCCGTTGTTAAAACTATAAAAAAAGAGGTGGTAACGAACAAGTAAAAGCCAATATTTTGGGGTTTTAAATACAAAGCTATATTAATTTATTTCATTAAATATTGGTTTAATTCTTTAAGTCCTTAATTTGTCACAATCTATCTTTGTATATTATGTACCACTACAGACTTTCTAAAAAAAAAGTGGAAAACGTATTTTGAATAAATGCCTTTTTGTTCTGTTTGAAATAGTGCTTATGTTCATAATTTAATCTAAAAATTAACGTTATAAAAACTCTGGAATTTTCACAGGTACATCTGGTTAGTATAATTAATAATGATTTATGAATAGCACTAAATATGATTAAGAAGGTTTTTGTATTGGGTTTTGTTTTGTTGGTTCGTCTTTTACTATTTCTTCAAAGTGGAGATGTGGATATTTATATGAGAGAAGAAAGAGATAGGAATTTTCAACATATTTCATATAACAACATTTTATTGCCTTAGCAAAACTAAAAAGGATGGCTATAATAAGATGTCAATGGAAATGTGTATATAAAGTGTAGGTTGACATGATAATAGGAGATCCAATACAAATAAACACAAGGGCAATTGTTAGATGACATTTTCACCTAAAATGGGGCTAATGGAAATAACAGATGGGACAATTTGACAGGTGACACTGTCACCAAAAGGAAATGACTTTGAATAAATGCTCAAAGGGAACATAAAGGACTATAAAAGGAAGGCACAATCCCTGCGCCCTTTTTCCTTTTGTTCTCTCAATTGCAGGATGCAGTAAGTCATGTGTCCAGTCTTTCCCTCTGGGGAGACAGCAACCAGTAACTTAATTACAAACAAACCATGTTTCACATCACACACACACACTAACCCTAATACTGCTAAATGCTCCTCTCCTTTTTTGAGCTATATTGTTCTTCACATAAATTCTTCACATGTTGAATTCATTTATTTTTAAAGTTTTCAACCTCTTCCCATAACAAATATTAATTGCATTTCCTACAAGGTAATACAATCTGCATGCCTACCATGCAAACAATTCTTGGAACTCTTAAAATTGTACAGTATTTTTCTTTTTTTTTCTTCTTCTTCTTTCCATTTTCAATAATCAATTATTGCTTTCTCTTCTTTCCAGGTGCTTGGGGTCCAATCAAAGACACTTACCACTCTGACATTACACATGGTTGGCATTACTGATCTCTATCTTTCAGACTGTCCGAGTCTGACAACTATCTCTTGTAAGTGCAAAACATTAATATTAAATTTACTTCCATTTAGCTATCAAGTTTTATCTGGGCATTATGCTGCCTACCATATAATGATGGTTAACAAGCTAGTTTCACAGATCATCATTATTAGTGAATTGGATTGCCACTGGATTATCACTGGTGCTATTGTGACCTTGTGTCAAACTGTACTAAGTTTAGCATCTATGGAAATAAATCATTTTAATAGATATCTAGTAGATAGTACTGAATGAAATATCAATCCTCCTACACAGCAGTGAATGCTGGACAATTTCTTCACAGGGGAAGAAGAGGCTTGAGGCAATAGAGATATGGTTCTACAGAGGATACTGAGAATATGTGCAGAACATTGTGAGCAACAATGAAGTTTTATGAAAAATGAGAACACTTAGAAAGAGACACTTGAAATTTATGGGGTACATAATGAGGAAAGAAGGGTTTGAAGAATTTAACACTCACAGGGCATATTGAAAGCAAAAGAAATGGAGGTAACCTGTAAGTAATTTACCAAATAAGCTTAAGTGTAGAACAAGGGAGAGTAAAGAGAAAAACATAGTTTAGAGCTACATAGGATAGGAAATTGTGGAGAGCCATAATCACCCACGTCCTGAAGGCGCATAGAAGAAGACATCAGTTTATTTTTTAATATAATCTTTTTCATTGGTGAATATGTTGATGCATCAATAACTCTGTAGCCTAATGATGAAAATCACTAGATAAGTTCATGAACTTCTTTGTCAATGCACTTAATTCAATGATGAATATTAATAATATAGATTAAACATTTACAGTGAAAATTCTAGATCAAAATTCATCTAATACTTCTTGCCTTGTGGTTACGTTAGTCTATTTCCCACAAATTTTATATGATTTATGATTTTAAAGAAAAGCCAGGATTTTGAATGCAGATTTTCCAGGAGGACAGATAAAAGATCTAAGCAATAAGCCCTCTGCCGTATTTTTTTTGTCTTGAATTAAGCTGCTAAGTTGGCAGCAGTGACTTTATCAAGTATCCAAGAATTTAATTTCTTCTTTGCTGATTGCTTCCTTTATGATGTTGGTGTTAATGACTAAATTCACCGCAAACATTCAGGTTCAGGACTAGAAGCTTTCAGTTTCACCAAAACCACCTTCTGTCATCCATTTCTTATTGTTGTTTGACTTTGCAATATTTGGTTGGAGGTGAAAGAAAATCAAGTGTAGAAGAAAGTGCCAATGGTGTGAATTTGTTTAAGGTGGACCTCAACTTGCCATGAAGTGACCCACACACTTGATTTCATGACCTTCCTCTGTGACACATGTGGAACAACAAGACATGCAGAATCCAGTTATGAAACTGCAACAGATTGCCACTGACTCTTATAACTTCAAGTGGTAGCTTCTGCAGCATGTCCCTCATGCATAGCCCTCTTCATCCACTGGTTCAACTGTTAAGATCTGTTATGATCATAATCCACTTGTTCCACTGTTGGGGTCTTTGAGGTTGGTCAAATAAAAACTGATTATCAACTTCAGGATTATGAGATTACACAGTAAATTTTCTCCTTATATAAACATTTTTACTATAGCTTGAAACAATATTGATAATGATAACTCCTCATCCTAGAAATTCAAACAGAACCTGAGAGAGTTAAAAATGCTATAAGCTATTAACAAAAAATATATTTTTAGTGGGTATCATTGAAAATAGGAGTAATAAAAACTCACTTGTTTATTTTTTTATCATTTGACTTCAGAAATAAAATTAAATTCTAAACTAGATTAACTCTTCTGCATATGATTTGATATCATCATCATCTTGAAGCAATTTTAACAACTATGTGATATGTTCCTTCAGGACTTTCGTAGTCATGGCTCTCCACAATTTCCTGTCTTTTGTAGTTCTCAATAAATTTTGTCTTTTCATTGTTATAGCATCCATTTACTCTAGCTCACTAGGTAGGTTATGCATTGTTTTCTTCTGTACCTTCAATCTGTCCTGTGAGTATCAAAATTTCCAAGCCCTCTTTCTTCATTATACGCCCTAGAAATTTTAACTATCTCTTCCTGATGTTAAGTATAAGTGTCCTTTTTGTTTCAATTTTTTTCTAAAACTTTGTTGTTGCTCACATGTCCGGTCCATAATATTCTCAGCATCCTTCTGTAGAACCACCTTTCTGTTGCTTCAAGCTTTTTCTTCATCTGTGAGTAGATTGTCCAACATTTACTGTTGTATAGGAGAACTGATATTATGTAACAGTTCACTACTCATTTCTTTGTTTGTAACTGTTTTATTGTTACCTTTGTTCAAAATAGAGAATTACAGAGGCCATAGTTAGAGAGAGTATCAAAGGAACAGAAGACAAGGTGAGGAAAACAAAGTAGAAGAGGTTTATTAAATACTCATACATGGAATGGAAAAACTTAAGGAAATTAAATACAGCGTTTACTCATTCCCCCACAAGAATGAGATGTGACACAAGGTCGGATTAATGTGGGGACCCGAGCGCGTGCACCCGGGCAGGGTCAAAAATTCCCCTCAGTTGCCCCTCTGTCCTTTGACAGAGAAGCCCCTGAGCACACTCTGTCCAAAGACAGAGATGCAACTGAGAGATGATAAATAATGTGAAATCCCCACCAAAGGAGGGATTTGCATGCTAAGGAAATCAAATACTATTCAAACGTGGCTATTTGCCATATTTATAAGTAGGAACAGTCTATTGTGACAGTAGCAGGGAAGAACAGGAATTACACTGAGTCCTACTTTACAACATAAACAAAATGTTTCTGTTTCTTAATACTTTATTACATTTTGTAAGTCATCTTTTGCTATCCCAATGTGCCTTTGAATTTTAATCTTGCACTTTGCATCCTCTGTTTAAACACTTCCCAAATATTTAAATTGTTGTATTTGCTTGATTTTGGCATCACCAATTTGTAATTTGCATGTTGGGCTGTCCCTTTTGCTGACAACCATATATTTTTACAATTGATGTTTAGTCTTTTCTTCTCTACAGTCTGTAGTTCCTTCTGTGTCTGATATCAACATTGTGTCATCTTTTATATCTAATGTTGTTAAGATTGGCTGCCAATAATGAATCCTGGACTTTCAATTCTCTCTGCATATAATAGCAGATTTGATTAAAAATGTTTTGTGATTTTATGAGTTAACATTAACCTTTTCTTTTCTTTTTTTTTTATTTATCTTAATTCTAGGTAGTGCATGTCGTGTGTTGAAGAAAATCTCTATTGGAGAATGTCCAAAGCTGTCCCGGATATCATTTGCCCAATGTAAAAAGTTATTAGAAGACCAAGTAGTAAAGGAATTGTCTTTGTTATCCTCTGATGTGTCTCGAGTTCTCTTCTTACGACCAATGCACCAGGTGAGCCTAGAAATATATTTTTGTCAGATTAATTAAAATGAATAAAAAAAAAATAAATATAAAAAAAAAAAAACTTGTACATTTCATTGCTTAATGTTAGGTTTTCAATTTTAAGAATTATTCTAGATCAAATAAATTTGCCTTTATATTTCAAACATCTCTCTAGATCAATGATTTTCAACCAGTTTGCCGCAACACACTGGTGTGCCATGAGAGTGTCATAAGTGTGCTGCAAAATTTTTTAATTATTTTCAAAAGAACTCCAAGGCACAATAAGTGTTCATATCAAAATCAAAATACCTTTAAATTGATTATATGCGTATATCATTGATATAATAAATAAATGTATACATAATATATAAAATAATATAAAAAGCAAGTTTTCCTGCAATAAACAAAATTAAAAACAAAAATCAATCACTGCTAGGAAAAAGATTTAATTAAGAGTACAGTTGTCCAACATTCAGCCTAAAAATATTCTAAAAAAAACGTCAAGCTCAGATATCTTATTAAATGTTAAATTATAATAAACAGAAAAATAAAGAAGTTTTATTAAGAATTTTAATTATCTATTTGCTATAAATTATAAGTTGTTTTGTATTAATAAATGAATCATAAAAAATATACGCTTTTTTTTTTTGTACTCTCTTTTTAATCACCATAATTTAAGCGTGCCACAGAATTTTAGCTATATGTTCAAGTGTGCCATGAAAGTTTAACTATCATATATACTCACTAATCATGTGTCTTTTGTAGACCTAATTTTAAAGCTAATTTTAAGGGGGTACCATCATACATGAGATGTGAAATTACCTATAAATATTTCTACAAAGTTAAAAAAAATAAGCTTAAATAATTTTGTTTATTACTAAATAATTTCTGAAAAATTCATTAACATCTTATAGTTATCTAATTTTTTTAGGGTTTCTTAATTAAGTTTTTTCTCCAACTTTATAATTTTATTACACAGCTCAGAGTAGGGGCTGTCCAGATTGTGTGGGAAGGGAATATATAATACCAATGTCTTATTTGTAACTTAGTCAAATTGTGTTTGTATGCTTGTGAATACATTAAATTTCCCAAGCAAGTGTAAGTCACTCACACACAACACCAACATATGCATATACGTGGCATAGATGCATGCAAAGTAACAGGCAAACTGCAATAGAGAATTATCTTTTCTTTTGTAATATAATTTTACTTTGCAAAAATTTCCTTCTAATCAGTGTTAAAGCAGTGTTTCTTGACCTTTTTTTTTTTTTTACTTCAAGGTGCACTGTAAATTTTAATAAGGAAAAATTAGTTATGAAATTTGAAAATAGGACAATAATAAAGAAGTCTTCTGAAATAAGCATTTATTTTTAAGACATTACATTGTATATTTAAGTATGATTAAATATCCACTATCGTCAACTTAAGAAGAAAACTATTGTTAATAGGTGTCATTTTTGATTTAGCATCCCCAAAGAAGATTAGCGGTACAGTTTTCATTTAAAGGGATTTAGGAAGAATCTGCCATTTCTTTTAGTGAGGCCAATGATAACTGATTTAAATCCCTTGAAGGCAAAAAATGCAAGGATTATTTACTCCTTAAAGATTAAAGAATTTAGCATCCAGTTTTAAATCTCATATGACAAAGACGTAACTTAGACATGGAAACTTGGTGTCTCTAGTTTTTGAAAAATAATTTTTTTTTTTTTTAAATATAAAAATAATTAATAAATTACTCTTCTGTTAATTTGGGGAACACCAGGTTACATTTCAGGGCACATTAGTAAATTAATACTTGTAAATATCTAGGTTTTAATTGCATCATTTTAAATTCTGAATGTTGTTTATGCAAACTGAGTCCAAGAGTGAATTTATATTGGAATATTCTGAATTCTTTGTTTTCTTTTACAATTTGAAGTTATAGTTATTTTGTAAATATTTTTTATTTAGATGCAGATCCCTGTACAGTCCTTATTTAGTGATGACAGTCACTCAAGTTACCATTGTCTTGTGAAGGATCATTGCAAACAACCATCCATGATGGTATTAAACAGAAAGAGAGCAGAAGTTCTTGTTGACTTACTTCCAAATATAAACAAGTAAGATCTGTTCTTTATTTATTTCTATATTTCAGTAAAACCTTGATTTAAAGATCTAATTCATGTGGGAGTGTCTTACTTAAATTCAATAATTCCTTAAATCAAATAAATACTTCATTTCATAAAGAAGTAAATTCTTTAGTTCACATTCAATTAACTTCTTTTTTTAAAGATCCAAGACTGCATGCAAATGACCAATGTTATATAAAACTATAAAATATTAAATAAAATAATTGTACATACCTTTCCTTACTCATATTGGGAGGATTTTTATAAATGGCACTGTAGATGTGATCTACAATGTAATTTATTTGTACACTTAACAAAGGCTAAGAAAATTTCCAAAGCATCATATGTATTAATCTTATCATTTTTGATGGGTACTTTGCTAACAGCACTGACTTAAAACCTGGTTGAGTTTTTGATATTTCTCTGATTTTTTTTATTTATTTTTTTAACTAATAAAATTGGGGTTATCTAACATACTTTACCGTACCTCAATTTTTAATTTCTTAAAAACTGTAGAGTTGCAAACCTGAAATAAACATTGTTATGACTCAGGAATGGTTCCTTAAATTGAGGTTTTACTGTACAAATAAAACAAAGCTTACATTCATTCTCGCACAGGAATTAGTTATACAAGAATTTTATGAGGGAGTGCTGAAAAGTGATTTTAAAAAAATCCAATTCATGTATATTTGGTCAGATTTTGTGAAGGGATTCAGGCTAAAAACTTTTCAGCACCCTCTTGTAGAACTGCTAGACTTGATGAGTATTGTGACACGCACCGGTGGTCGCAGTCACAGCGCCAACGCCAATATGGGACGTCCACTGGTCGCGACGTCGATATATGACACTGCGCTGTCAGCCCATGGTCAACTCCCAGGTGCGCGAAGCCATAAGGTTTCTTCCACCAGTGTTTTGGGGTTGACTCCTCGTCACTGCCACCAGCCTGTGTCCCAGTCAATCTGGTTGTTTCTGGTTCAATACCAGCTTTGTTGTTCTCATCTCACTTGGTCACCGAAGTAACTGCTTTGATCTCAAGTCTAACCTACCCACGTTGTGACTTTGATCTTAGGTAGACGAAATCAATCAGGCGTCGGACCGTAGTGCAAGCTGAATCTGGGGTAAACGTGATATCGCACAAGCATAAGTAAAAGAAAATAATAAAACAAACTCACGAGGTTCAAATATGTTGAGAAATAACAATTAACTTTATCTATCTGTTAAATACAGGAGTGTGTTTCTCTCCTGGCTCGTTTCTATGGATTCGTGACACTTTTTGCGTTTCTTAAGCAAGTTATGGTATCTTAAGTCGTTCATCAATAAAAACTTGCTTTTGGTAGGAAGACCAAGTCAAAAAGGATGTGGAAATCTCGGTCAGCTCCTGCGAGGCTCTATTCTCTGAGCCCAACAGCTCTCTGTCAATCTGTGTCTGTGTCTCCGATCTCCAACACCACTCTCTGAACGCCTGGGGATGTTCGTTTATATGGACACCAACCAAAACCGGGTTGGGGCCTTTCACAGTTTGGGTTCTTTGACAATTCATAATTCCCAACAAAGATTTTCTTTGTCCCCAGGACAGGAAAATTTATTACTTCCCATTTTTGGAAGCTAATCACTTTCCCTTTTGGGGGTTTTCTCCCTCATCCGTGAGGAGAGTTCGGAGGAGAATTATCCTCCTAAACTTTTCCTTTCTCATATTGGTATCTCATAACAATCCTCTTAGTGGCTGTCAACAACTTCCCCGCCTTTCTCATACATTCACCTTCGCCTATCACTCACGCTACCACTCAGCCAATGATCACTCAGCAACATGGGTATGGCTAGACTTGGCCTTCTTAAAATTATCGTAGGAGCTGTCCAGACTGTGTGGGAAAGGAATATATAATACCAATGTCTTATTTGTAGCTCAGTCAAATTGTATTTGTATGCATTTTTGCAAACAGGTGGTCTCATTAAGGGGGTCTTACCACTCTGCAGAGGTGCAGTTAGTATATTCTATGGCCCTAGCCAACAGGACATTTTAAAAAATTTTATAGTAGGACATATTTGTTAACATCAGCAAGAGATACAGATTATATCCTTAATAACTATCTTGTCCTGTTGAAAATTAAGGTGCATCTAGTTACAGTCAAATAAGTTTATTGTATAAATATTTTTTCTATGATTATGGGCACATGGCCAAGTGGTTAAAATGTTTGCTTTCTGACCATGAGATCAGGGTCGATTTGTCAAGAAGGTGACTTTTTTATGTTATCAGTCTGGGGAGGGGATTCCAATGTGTAGCACCTTTGGAAAGTGCCTGAAAACCATATCATGTATTGACCAAAGCTTTGTGAATGAAATTTGGTAGACAGGTCTATTCAGAAGCTGTTAATGGTTTTGCTTGCACAAAAAAAAAGACTTCAACATCCACAAAGCTCTTGCATGGAATGCATGTAACAAACTTCACTAGATTCGGTATTCAAATGTTCCATCCTCCTTAAAAGTCCAAACCTTTTGAACATTTATTGAACCAGTCCTACTGTATGGATCAGAAACTTGGACAGTATCTGTTTGTCTTGAAAGACGAGTGGATGGAACATATACAAATCTACTTAGAAAAATCCAGAACATCAGTTGGAGATTCCATGCAATGCTTAACACAATTTACAAAGAACTGATACCAATCTCTCTTAAACTTAAACAAAAACAATTACAGCTTGCCTGTCACTGCCACAAAGTGGACAGGGAAATCATCACATCCTTATTCTCATGGCATCTTTCTGGAGGCATCTTCTCACGAAAATTGACTTTATCAGACACCGTAGCTTGAAACTTAGGGTTGGATATTGGGGATTAGGGGATAGCAATGCAGAACCAAATAGTGTGGAATGGGATTGTCAATGCAATCCAACCAACCATGGGGAAGTCAAAGGATGATGATGATGATGATGTGCAATGTCACACGTCAAGTGATTTGTTTTTCATAATTTTTCTCTAGTTTTTGCTATGATGTACTGTTTTTGCTTTGTTATGGTAGTAAGTATGCATAAAGCAGAGCAGTATGTAATATAAGTTTGTTTTTTTTTGCTGAGTTTTTTTTTTTTTCAATTTATTTATTTTTTTAAAAAGTAAAATCATCAATTTATTCAATAACTAGTAATTTTTTAATTTCTTTTCCTCTTTCAATGTTGAGATGATTTTCTATTCAGTTTTTGTATGAAATATACAAATCACTATTGTTAGTAATTTGCTTAGTTGTACCAGAAATTGCTTTATTTAAATCATTTTAATGAAATACTTGGACACTAACTGGATGTAGAAAACCTTTTTACTAATGTTCTCATTAAAGAAACCATTAATATAACATTATGATATGTTTACAAACATCCTAAAATTAAACCTCTCACTCTCTAAAAACTTATTTTAGCTTGCAATACACAAGTTCCTTTTACAACTACCTGACTGATGGCATCGCAATGAGGTCTCCTCTTAGTCTATTACTACATCTCATCTCAGTAATTTATTTTTTAAAAATCAAGTTACACCTAATATATATGTAGATGATATTTTAATTTTAACCAAAAACCAAGACTAAAATAAGAGAAATTAACTCTGTCCTCCATTTATATGCAAACTTGACATAAACAATAGAATTCCCTTCTAAGATGCTTCAATCAATTTGAATAATCACAGCATCACAACCTCTTTATACAAAAGAAAATATATGTATAGACACTTGTATCTTTAATTTCAACAGTAAATGTCTCTTCTGGTACAAAATTGCTTTAATAATAAATGTTTTTATAAACAGAGCTCTACTTATTTCACACTTCATTTCTAAAATAGGTAACATTATATTTTTAGATTGTAATAATTTTTATTTTTTTACCTCTTGAGATAATAATGGCCTAGTGATACAAGTCTTACTAATTAACCCATATCTGGGGGAGAAGAGGTTGAGTCATACCTTTCCCAAGGGTATTTGCCCACAAGTGAATATAACAAACCCAATGGGAATTGGAACTCTGCTCACCAATTAACAATTCCAAGCTATTATCCATTACACCACCTGCACATCCAAACTTACAACACCTGACATTCCCAAATGGTTACCCAACTAGGTACTTGTCATGTTCCCTTTCTAAGAACCCCCAATGAGTACACTTTATTATTTGCACATTTCTGTTAGAGAATCTTCATACAGTATAAAAACTGAGACTTTATCCAATAGTTCAAAAAATTCCCACTGAATCTGTCTTGAAAATGATTCATTTAACTCTTACACAAGAAAGGATACCCAACAAGATGAGCAGTGATGAGTTTCAGACAAGATTATATCTGGAGAAACTACTTTTTAGACAGGTGTGCCTTACTGTTTGGCTACAGGTGTCATTACAGCAACAAGAGTACACATTAAAATAATTAAATAAAATTTATAGTAATAAGAAATATTGTTGGATTAAATAATTTAATTATTTTAATTGCTTTGTTTATATTTCAGGTACAAGAATATAAGTTACCAGATATCAATACTAAATATTCTGAATGAGATATATAGATTTCTTTAAAAGGTCATGTCTATAAATTCAAAACAATTGGTGCATTGTCATTTTTTTTTTTTTTTCAAATCTATTTTTTAACATCCTTGTGTCTTTTCTGTTTACTTGATGATAATTATTTAAACACTTTTCTTGACTTTTTTCAGGACTCTGAGAGAAATCTTAAAATGCCAAGAACAAAATGATGGTGACTCCCAGGATCGATGCCAGAAAACAATCCACCATTTTGAAGGTTGGTTTTTTCTCAAATTTACTTATCTTAAAGATTTATTCCTATGAAGCAAATCAATGTAGTATATTGTGGTCAGAAATGTTGAGCTCACCACCACAATAATAGTCTGCAAAAGTAGGTTGCTAACTTTTATGTTATGGTGACATGCCTATATTTACTAAGCTTGATTGAGCACAAAGAAAAGTAGTAATGGCTCATTGAACAAGCTCTTTAGTTATTAACCAAAAGTGAAACACCCAAATCTTTTATTTCTAATAATAATTTCTAATAATAGCACACAAAAAAAACTTCTCAATCTATTTACAAATTTATTTAGTCTTAAATTCTGAGCAAATATTTCATGGTTGTTAATATTCTTATTTTTGATATAACCTTGATAGGAATAACACCAATGAACAGTACTTTTTATATGAATATGTCATTTATATTATAAAAACAAAACTGATTCTCTGTCACACACTGCATGGATTTTGTATGGACATATATATATATATATATATATATATACAGATGTCTCTGTTGTGTGTAAGTGACTTACATGTGTTTGTGCCATTTAATTTACACACCAGCACACACACACACATACAACTTAACTTTTAGGATATTGGAATGATAAATTCTCGTGCCACTCAGTCTGAATAACTTCTGCCTTGGGCTGAGCAATAAATTCATGGAGTCAGAGGCAAGAAAAAAAACAATTTTTTAAATCTTAAAAAATCAGGTAATTATGTAATTTTATTAAACTTTTTGGAAATAAATAAAAAATTTTACAGATTTTTTTTCTTTTTTTTAATTTTTTAAATTTTGTAGAAATATCTTTAGGTCTGCCATTGAATTAAAATATACAAGAACACATGCAAGCATACACAGACACACAATTTTTATAAATTTCCTTTTCTGTCTCGCAACAACCAGTGAGTAACAGGAAAAGAATATAAGCTTGCTTTTTGAAATCATTTTTCTCTTTCCATATTTAAAGAGAATATATTTTCGGCAGTGTTTAACCTTCATGCCTGAAAAAAGACAGTGCGTCAAAAGGACATTTTTCCCCCCTTGACACTGCTATTATGTTAACTACCTTCACTCTTCAGCAATTTTTATTGTTTTAAAAAGCAATGATTAAAATTTTAATAAAACCTAAACATATGATGGAAGTGTATTTATACATTTTCTTTGTTAGAGTGAAAGAATTTAGATTACACTGTCTGTGGTTGTTGGTAAGCAGATCTTAGATTCTTTAAGTATGGATTTTATAAAAGTTGGTGATATAATTGTGTTTGAGGAAATTTTGGAAAATACTTATCAGGATTCCTTCTAAGTATTTATAAATAAGTTTTTTTAACTATTTACACAAATATACAAGAATTATACACATGAATGCTGCTTGATAGGACAAATATATGTGAGGTCTGCTTAACCAATGAAAAACAAGCAACACAAAAATAAAAATACTATAATTTTCTGTTTCTTCTCTATTTCATTTTCTGATGAAGCTTGAATAAAAATGAAGCATTAAATTTATAAATGTTTCATATTTGTTCCTTATCCTATCATTGTTGGATTCTAATTCATATTTGATCCAAATTCATATACACTACATTTCAAAGGTTTAAGGTCACCTCTGGTAATTTTTTAAATTGACCCAAAAAGTAGTAGTTTTGTATTTTAAATAAGATATAATTATTATACAAAATTAAAAAAAAAAAGTGAGACATGATTTTTATTATAAATTTTATTATGACAAAAAGTAAAAAAAAGCATTTTATGATTAAATTTTGCTCTCATGAAAATATCCTCCTTTAGCCTTGATTAATGCAGCACAAATTTATGTCATCCATTGCAAAACTTTCTCAAAGTATAGGTTTGGTAATTAATTCCTTTCTTTTTTCTAAGAGCTCTTTTTTCAATTTTTGGATGAAAAGGTCACACTCTTCTGTCAAGTTCATCCTATGCTAATTCTGGTGGTGCTTCAAACTTTTGAACTGTAGTGTAGGTAATTATATGATAGGGGGAGATAATATGAGTGGTAATCAAGATTGTCAATTGAATAGTTTTGTTTTTGTTTTTTTTAACTACAGAATTAAATGAAGATGGCAGTTTGCTGGAAGTGAAGACTGATATTCCATGGTTGCAGTTCTTCTTGCAAAATTATTCTGAACAAGGTGAAAAGGGTGAGTCTTGGTAGTGGAACAACTGAATTTACAGATTTAGAGCTGACAGTGTTCGTTTTAATCAAGCTTCCATCAAAAGAGTTGATTTCTCTCAGTTCCTGCAGCTATTTAAAATCTATATGCCTATTAAATGTGCAATTTTAAAAAAAAAAACTCATTAAAAATACACATCTTAATCTGGTGAGGAACCAATTTTCTTTTTCTTAACTGAATTTTGTGCTTATAAATGTTGTACACAATGTACTGAAAAGTTCTAAATACAACTAAGTATAATGTCCTAGAGCCTTGAAATGTATGTTATTTCACATATTCACTTTACAACACACTTCTAAAGATGCAGGTAAAATAATTAAGTACCTGACTCCTCATGCTATCCTCTACCTTTATAAGAGCCAGATAATGCCGAAAATGGAGTACTGTTGCTATATTTGGTCAAGAGCTGCCCAGTCCTCACATTCCAGTTTTGATAGAGTTCAAAAGCATCTCTGAGTCTTTGGGGATGACAAATTATTTTCCACCCTCCAAACTCTTTTTTTACAGGTGGGATGTGGCGAGCCACTTAACTGCTCTATTGCGAGTTTCATGGAAAGTGCTCAGACAAATTACATTCCTTGGTTTTGTCAGGTCTAACCTTCATGGCTAGGACCCACCATGCCACTTACATTGTAGCAAGCTACCTTCATTCCCTCTATATTTCTTTGGTGACAAGTAAGTTCCACTCAAACAGCTTCTTTCTGTGAACCACTGTTCTGTGAAACAGACTCCAAAGAAGATGTTTCGCCTATCATTGAAATCTTAACCTGTTCAAGTCTAGAGTTAATGTCATCTTCCCATCCTATCCATATAAACTACTCTTTAATGTAACCCTTTACCTCAAGTGGCCCTCAGACCTTGTACAGGGTGAACCTTACTGTAAAAAAAAAAATTAAGTCTCTTTAGCCCTTCCCACCAAAATTCTGTAACACTGGTTCCCTTACAATCACTGAAGTTAAGTAACATCGAACCTGATTAGTACCTAGATAGGTGATCAGTTGGGAATACCAGGTGCTGTAAGCTTGAATGTGCAGGTGGTCTCATGGGTAATGGCTCGGAATTGTTAATTGGAGAGCCGAGTTCCAATTCCCATATGTGCAAATACTTTTAGGAAAGGTATAAATCCACCCCTTCTCCTCCCAGCTATAGATTATTTAGTAAGACTTATATCCTGAAACCATTATTATCTAAAAAAAAAAAAAAACAATTCTAACAATATAAAAATATTTTCTAGCTTTAAATAACCTGCAAATGGTTGATAAGCTGTAGAAAACTGATCAACCAACCAACTAAAATTCTGGTGTTTGCTCATTGAAATATTGACTTTTGGAAATGTGTTGGTCCAAGAGCTTTTCAGTACCTCTGTTATACATATAGTAAAATCTTTTATTTCATAGTTTGTTTTTTAAGATATAATTGTAATTTTAAAACAGAACTTGAATTCCAGCCATGTTCCCTTTGTTTGCAGATCTTGGAAGAATAACACTATTATCTTAAAATATCAAGTATCGTAGAATTACAACATAAAAGATAACCATGAAAAGAAATTAACAACAAACTCCTTGAAAATGGCTGAAAATAATAGACACTACAGCACTTGGGATAATAGACACTACGAAGAATTTTTACACTCCCTTACTCCCACCAAGCATTCTCCTCTGTTCATTGAAATTTATTCTTTCTGAAAATGTTGAATTCAGTAACTTCTATGTTCTCAACCTCATTCTAGTACAACCCCGTAGACATTCATCCTCAACATGTTTTTTTTTTTTATTTTGTCAATGATTATTTTGCCATTCACAGTGCTTAATATACAATTACAGCCAACTGACATTAATTTCACTGTTCAAAATAATGTTAACTTCAAATGTGTACCCATGAAATGCAACATTTGTAGTAACTAGAAAGACCTCTGAAGATTTCACAGTTTTCCTATTTGAATTTTCTGATGAATCTTAATTCTTCAGGTAGTGAATAAGCTCATGATAAGTTCTATGACAATAAAATATCTGTAAAAATTCCCCTATCACATTGTTAAATATTTGTGCTTAACGACTTTAACAAAATATTTCAATAACAACCATAAATATAAATGCTGGTCATTATTTTAAGAAGTGGGTACAAATGAAAAGATTTGAAATTGTCAACTTTTTTCACTTCACTAAAATAACCGTTTAACACTTCTGTGTTTCCTTCTTTCATTTTTTCACTGAAACCAAGTAGTGTCTTTTTCCTTATTTCCGCACAATCAAAATAGAATAGTCCATTATTTGTGAGGCATTGGCTGGAGAGACATTGATCACTTTTATCTTTTGTTCTTTCTTTCATTCAATTTGTCACTGAAACCAAGTAGCACTTCTGGTGTGTTTTGCTTTTCCACACAATTAAAACAGTGTAGTCGATTATTTATGAGGTATTGGCAGGGCATAATGGTCGTGCAAACTAATGACGGGAGGGACAAGCACAATTATAATAGGATAAAAAATAATGTTGGAATGAAAACCTTCATTAATTGCTTATGAATTATTCTGTTTATATTTCGGATATGAAAATAAAACTAGCAGATATAGACTTTGCATTTCTTACAGAGGTAATTGAACCTTCAGTGAAATATATGTACAACATTGAGATTTTAATGGATATCGTAGAACCCTTCAAAAAGGATTTACATAGTAATGGCTATATTACAGGGTTGTATTATACTCAAGGATGTAATTTATTCCCTGTACTTAGCTTCAGAAACACAGGATCATATTGTACACAAGAAAATACTGTATATTCAGCATTAAATAACAAGTTAATTAAGTTAACGAATATTACTTAGACAAGTTATTATTTCATATAAAAAATATGCAATGTATCTTCAGATTATAAAACTTTATACTTTTAATAAAATCTCTTCCAGACTCATTCTACATCATGGATGTGTGGGTGGTGTAATGGATAGTGTCTTGGAATAAGAAATCAGTGAGCTTAACTTCTTCCCTAGAACTTTTTGGAACAAACTCCTGAGAGGATGCTTCCTGACAACTATAATCTTGGTCTTTTTAAGGTTCAGGGTCAACCAATATTTATCCTACACATCCTTCATACTCCCTTCTTCCATTATTCCTTATAACAGTCTCATTCAGTGACCCTCTACCTGAGTGACCTTTGAGCTATGTATTGGGCAGTCAGTCAAGTGCTATATATGATACATGCTTGGGTAATCATGTCTCTTTCAATTTATGACTGACTTAGCAGAAAGTTTCCTGCAAGTAGGCTATCATTTCTTTCTGTGAGAGTGTTGTAGTAAAGAAAAGAAACAAAAAAACTGTAAACTTATAGTCGCAATCACAGTTCAAACATTAGTCCATCGTAAAAGTCCAACAGGCAACGTATAAATGACAAAATGGGGTCACAAATCCAACCTTCACTTCTCACCAGCAAAAACGCATGTTTGTCCACCAAGCTCAGAAAATTCCTCTCTCATCAGCAAAAAACAACGGCTTTTGTTCATCGAGCGATTTTTCTGATTGGCCACACTATTCAGGTGAGGAAAGAACATTAGCATAGTTTCTGATACTTAAAGTAGCAGATTTTGGCTAACTACATTCTGTAACCTTTTTTCGACATCACACACAAAACACGAACTCTTTTTTGAGGTAGGTGTTATCTCTCTCAATTCTGCTATTCAACCCATAGTTGGGGGATTTCTCACACATCCTTAGGAGATGAATAGATTCATTTCCCTTTTAACTCAATTTAATGACCAGGGTTTTTCAGGTATCTTGTCTCCAGCTCACCTTTGAATTATCAAACATAAAATTCTGTTAGTGTTTTTAGATAGCCACGAAGACTTTGAAATACTGACGATCTAGAACCTGTCAGAGTGGCCCCCCTTCCCAGTTGGTGGAACACAAGTGAGCGAAAAGGGGTGGTTGGTTCCCCACCCAGTATCCATTTTATGAATTGGGCAATGGGTGAAGGAGCAGTCAAAATGTATAGTGGTTTTCTGTGGCTGGAACTTAGTGAGAAGTCAGTTAAAAAAAAATCCACTTTCTCAGAGTAGAAGACTAAGTGAGAAATTTTTTTTTTTTTTTGCTACTTCTTGGCCCAACAAGTGTCTCAAAAAGCACTTGTTGCTATTGCTTTGTTAACAGCAATCACAGCCCTAATATTGGTTACTGAGACGAATCTTTGTAACATAACATAGCGAGTACTGGTGTATTTGCATACGGCCAACCTTGGATGTCATCACAGCTGCTGCAGTGACATGCAGAATTGCATTACCACACTATTATAATAATTTGTGTTTGTTAGATTTTCAAAATCTACTTTTAAAAATGTCAATATTGCTTACTTTCATTTACACACTGATTACTGCCATTTACTCCCAAGCTGTGATCTAAATGCTAAGGTAGTTACCACTTCCAGGGCAGAAAATGGTTTGAATAACTAAATCCATCAGCAAAACAATCACTTATTTATAAAGATCACAAAAGATCTGACTGGCAATTAACAATGAGATGAATTTTAAAAATGAATATACAAATTAGATTTCTTCATTAAACAAAAATCATTACTTATGGTCAGATATAAATCATATGTTGGTAGATATAAATGATAAAACTGCATTTATTTCATGTCACAGTTTTGTGTAAGATTTGCATGTGCACATGGACAAACATGATACATTTAATTGTCATGCTTTCTAACAAACAAAATTTTGAGCTTTATGGTAGTCACAAAGTAAATATTTGTTAGTTTACGGAATAAAGAATGTTTTTAGCCACAGGGGACAAAAGTTTCATCATTTATGGTTATTGAAAATATTTCATAATAAACAATTAAAATTGATAATCTGAAATGATTTTTTTTCTGTATATCACATCAAGGCATGTAATGGACTAATGGATAGTGGCTCAGACTGAGGAATTGGAGAGCAGAGTTTGAATTCCAGTCCAGTTCATTACATTTAATTACATGCTAATACCTTGAGAAAGCTATGAATCCATTTAGTTTCCCCCCCCTCAGTTATGGGTAAATAGCACAGCAGAGTGGGTTGGCAACCAGTCTAGATGGATAACTCTAAATTCAAAATCAGACCACGGGCAAACCACATGGTCTTCAACTGTCAGTCAAGAGCTGGGAGAGGAGATGGGCGCCTCCAAGCTATCTGAAAGGATCATGAGAAAGAATCAGTCTGTTTCTTTTGATCTTTGGTCTCACCAACGATTGAAGCAGTTGAGGGTCAGATAATGATGATATCATATCCATTACAATATAAATCATTTTTCGCTGATTGACTTTCTATATTTCAATATTGATATTTTTTTTTTCATATTTCTCCAATATATTATTTTAAAATATTGATTGAATATTTTCAAAATATGTTTTCAATATATATATATTACTTTTCAATATTATTACAATATTTGCATTATGATATTGCTGAAGTATTTATTTTTTAATATTGTTATAATATTTATATAATTTTTTTCTTTTCCAGAGTTTCTGCCTAGCACACCTATGTGTGAAGAATTTGCAAACATCCAACTTGAAGCAATGGCAGAAGATATTGTCAAAGATGGTATCCAGGGTGATTTTTTGGCAGACAGTGTGTTTCTTGTATATATCAATATGTGTGATATTTCTGGTATGCCAACGCCAGATTTGTACGTATGAGGGTCAGTGTGAAAGCTATTAAACTGAACATTTAAATTGGTGTGTATGTGTGCCTGTCAGTCTATGTGGGAGAGATGCATGTCTCGTTGTCAAGGATTTCTTACCAACTTTACATGACACTTCCTATCCTACTTCATGTCAATATCTGAACATACCAGAGATTTGTTTCTTATTGTCAATAAAAAAACTTTTGTTATTAGAAAAAAGAAAAAGTTATGGTATCAAGTGCATCAATAAAACTGCACAAAAGAAAGATAACAGTATTGTTTGTATGTTTAATAAAAATGTCTTGGCAAAATTAAATTTTTATTATTTCTTTCTTTTGTTTATTAAAACTTCTATTTTTTTTTTCCTTCAATGTTCAAAAATCCAGAAATATGCACTGAAGCAGAACTTGTCTCTACTAGAATAGACCTTAAGTAGTTTGACTTGTTTTTATAAATTTTGAATAAAATATTTCCAACAGAAAGAAAATGGTTTTGTAGCTTACAATATCTTGAATCAAAGGAATTTATTTGCATAATCTAAGAGATGATAGTCCCAAAGTTGGGAATTCTGGTTTTATTTTTTTTTTTTTTTTTCTGTAGTCATTTTCAGTTGCAGTAAAGTTTTTCATAAAACACTATTCTTTATTATTTACAGTCAGGCTAATGTCTTCCGCTTCATTGTTATTAAGTTTTGGTTACAGTGCTGTTTGGTCATCTTTAGATATATGTCAATCTGAGTTACCTTTTGGTAATTTCAAACTGAACCCTTCATTCACTCTACAGGGGTAGATTGTTTCCATTCTGCTCTCCATGGCTAGGGATAACTCGTTCTGTCCTTATGTTTTTTTTTATGTTTTATTTTTGCTTTTAAATACATTACAGAACATAAAAGTCACAAACCAATTTTACTATCAATAATCTCTTGTGACCTCCAAAGTACTTTATCCTCCCTACCAATTTTAAGATCAAAATATCTCACTCTTTCTTCTTTTTTTCCTTAAAAATTGCATTGTTTGATTAGAAATGTCATATTTTGATGACCTCTGGTGCTCATCAAATTCAACAATATCATCAAAATATGTCACATGGGATATTTTCCATTTTGCCTTACAGTGAAACCATCTATACATATATAAAGGCAGTTGTGTGTGTCCAGCTAAAACAAAAAATTACAGTAATTCATGACAAAGTAAATATATATACAGACTCATTATCACTCAAGCCAGCTTTGTGTAAAAAAAATTATTGTATGATTTGTATTTATGAAGATATTTTAAAATTAAAATGCGTTAGAATGCATTCGAAATTCTCAGAATTAAAAAGTAAAAAACAAACAGTAATAATTCTTATTCCAGATTAGGATTACAGTTTGTATTTACTTTTTAATTCTGCTAAACACTATACATGTATGTATTTTTAAAATTTCCTTCTTTTGAATTTATTTTCACATCTATAGTAAATAAATGTGTAACTAAAAAAATTATATTAAAACAAAAAAATAAATTTAAAAGAAGAATAATTTTAAATACAATTATTGGACAAAAACTTTAATATTTATTTATTCAAATATTCGTGTGTGTTTGTCCAGCTATAAAATAAATATACAGACTCAGTATCACCCTAAAGAGCAGATGTTTGTGTGTGTTTGTGTATATTATTAACTTATTAATATTTTTTGGCAATTTTATGGAAAAGTATTTTTTATTCAATCTTTAAAAAATAAACTACATTGTTTTTTTGGTTTGTAACATAAAAAAGTAAATAATTTTCAATCTAGTTTTATTAAAGCAAAAAACTATAGCGAGCCATATTTTTTTTTTAAATTAATCTAAATAAAATATAGTTAAATTCATAAAACAAATATTCAACACATTGAAAATGATGGGAAAATTCATTATTAATTTTTTTTTTTTTTTAATCATTTCACCTCAAGCAATGCAATAAAGCCACTAAGGTTTATAGGATTACTAGAATGCGAGAGAATATTAGAAAAAAATTCTTTTAAGGAGAGAACAGTAAAAGAACAGGAATTAAGAAGACAGAATATAATGTCTGACATTACATTTAAATTTTTGATGATCAATGTTGACTGAAAAACAGAACCTGGAAGAGAATTCCATGGCGAGAAGTGAGAGAAAAGAAACTGGTCATATAGGACTTATGGTTATATCTAGCCATTTCATCTATAAAATGATGAGATCTTACAACCAATCTAGTACTGCTCTGAAATTCATAATGTCTAAGTACCATAGATCAAAGTTCATCAAAACAATTACCATAAAAATATTTATAGAAAAAGGCAAAGGGAAGCTAGTTTATGGCAGTGGGAAAGTGACTGAATCCAAGATGCCATGTCATGACAAATAATATTGCAGATTCTTCTTTGTATTTTATCAAGAATCTCTAAATACATAGCAAAAGCAGCTGACCACATTTGGCAGCAATATTCAAAAGCATGGGTTCAGAATTGATTAGAGCCTCTTGTACTTTGCCAAAATGAGGTAGAAGGGTAATAAGTTGATACTTAGAGATCAGATGGTTTGCCAGAGTTCTACAGAAGGGATTTCAACAAGCAGCAGGGTTTATTTGTTTATGTATTCATAAAGTATTAATGGATTTATTTTTAATCCAACATTTTGATTACTTTAAACATTATTTATACTGGATACCCATGTTTGAAATAGATGCCCCATTTCTTATTTTGAACAGTGTTTATTACATTTATTGGCCTGTGCACTTTAGAAAATCTAATAAAGAAAATGTGCTCCCCCAGCAGTGTTCAAACCTATGTCCCCCTCTGTAGGAGAAACCACCATTTGATCTTATGTGCTCTAGTTCACTTAATCATAGAGAGTGTTGCAACCCAACAGCTTTCTATTTATCCTTTTAAAGAAAGCTAAATCACATTATAAAATCAGAAAATATATTGTTACTTTTTATACAATGAATGACGATATTTATTTGAGTTGGTTTGATTGAAATTGTTTAGTGGTATATCAGCCTCTATAGTTTATTTAAAGCTGAAATGTAAATATTTTGAACAATTTTATGGCTTCAACTAAATATATTTTGAATACAATTACTCAAATGTTTAGTTGACTTGGGTCTGCATGTATATAATGAACATCATTTCCGAATTTTGATCAGAATTATAGCTAACAAAAGTTGCATGTTTGTGGGTATTTTATATAGGTGCTGTGGCGGACATGAGACAGAACCTGGGATGAGCACAACTGGTCACGACTTGCCTTGTCCCCGTTAAAAAAGAGCCCATATTTGCTTAGCATGTAAAGCTACTGCAGTTGAAATGAGGGAGAAAAAAGCACTTACTGCTCTGCCGTAATCCGTCCTCAGCCAGATAACGTAAAAGAATGAGGGGGGACTTGCATTGCATTTTTATGCAATAAAGATGCAATGCATTATGGGACATGGACGCAATGAATTATGGGATCACATGAAGATGCAAGGGATTATGGGTATATGGACAACTATAAAAGCAACTACTTTTTCCCGAGTGGGGCAGTTCTTCGAGTGACGTTCATGGTTGGCGGCAAGAACAGTCAGTTTGTGTGATTTTGAGACAGAACTCAAGAAGGAACGACTCAAGGTTGAAATACCAGCTGGGAGAGCTTGAATTTACTTGCTGGTTGCTGTTGTCTTTATTCGCCTCAGGTGCGTATTCAATATGATAGAAACATGCTAAAGCTTAAGTTTCTACTACAATATCTATTGTCAATAATTTACCTGATAAATTTATTGATTATATAAGATTGGAAAAAGTTTGTTCTGAGTATGCGATTAATACGCAAAAACACAATCTTTTATTTTGTTATTATTATTGCTAAAAATACCCGTGAAAATATCATGGTTTTGAGATTTTAATTTTCTTATGAATCATAATTCTTAAATTAATGACTGAATAAACTCCTTCTGAGTTCTATGACAATAACAACACTTCTCCTATCTATGGGTTAATCCATTGGATGCATATCTGTTGTAGAGTAGTTTTCAGAGTGGAGGCTTGTATTTCACTAAGTCGGTCCTAAATTAGGTTCGACGTACAAAACGTTAGGAACTTGCAATAATAGTTAATGACACAGCAATCTAGTTGTGGGGCTCATACTTTAATGTCCGACATCGACTGACTCACACAACTCACTGAGCTTCCTGGCGACTGCTACTACTACTACTTATTATATGTGGAAGAGTCTATTAATAATAGAATAGGTACGTTCCGGTATAACAATATCAGTAAAAATTGTTATTATCTCCAAAAAATTCTTATAATCTAAAAATATTTTTCTGGCTAAAAATACAACCTGCAAAAGCTCAATAAGCCATAAAAAGCAAATCAATCAATCAAAAAATAATATTATTACTGGGATAGTGGTTGTGTTTAAATGCCACATTTTTGCAATCCCTATCTCCAGGTCCTTGTATTTTGAAAGTTCTAAAACTCTTTTGCTGAGACGGTTTTATCAAATAGAACGCACATGTTTTTTTTTCATTCAAAAGAAAGCGATAATGTCACTAAGATACAAGAAATTATCAGTTGATAAAAGCAGTGCATAACCTTGTAGATGGAGCCCAGTTAGATTGAGTAACCCAGTTCATTTCAGAAGGTCTCTGATCAGGATTGTTCACAAATATCTAAATGTGACTCCCAAGTCCCCTTGGCTGCCTTATCCTTCTAACTTAAAAACAACTTGCCACAACTGGTCATAATACTCCCTACAACTTCAACTTATGAACAGAGAAGCACAGTCTGTCAGTTTCCAGTGAACACACCCAACTCATTATGGTCAGGCAAACAAATCTGTGGTATTTGACAAAATATTTACTGTAACCAATCTTAATTCAACAAGACAAAACATGTACATAATCAGTTAAGATCAGGAATCATGGGGGGGGGCATACTTAGTGTCATATGAGATCATTTTTATTATTACTATTACTATCATCATTGTTGTTGTTGTCATTCTTTAACAGGTACAGTGATGAGAGTGTTAATAA